GGGAGCAAAGACACTAATGATAGAGGAAGAACACTAGCTGAATATCTTTTATCAACAAATCTAGAGATTCTCAACCGAGGCTACGAACCAACTTTCTAACATCACGTAGTCAGTCAGTAATAGATATTACACTGGCTACATGGGATATCTCACAATATATAATGGGATGGCACGTCTCTAAAGAGGCGTCAGTGTCAGACCATAGATGGATCATGTATACATCAAAATGTATAGACATGGAGACAAAGACGTACAGGAACCCTAGTCTGACGAACTGGGTTTTATACAACGAAGAACTGGACGACAGACTGGGGACCTCCGTGCAGTCTATACCAACAGAATACAGATCGACAGAAGACATAGAGAAAACCTTGACCATTATCAATGACTCTCTAATGTCAGCGTATGAGAAAAGTTGCCCCCTAAAGAAGGAAAGTCTGGGCAAAGGTACACCATGGTGGAACCGAAGGCTCAGCCTACTTCAATCGGGGCTAAGAAAACTTTTCAATAGAGCAAAAAACACTAAGAAAACTGAAGACTGGGAAGCCTATAAAGAGCACCGGAAAGAGTTTAAGAAAGAATTAAGAAAGAGGAAACGGGAAACGTGGAGATCCTTCTGCAGCGACATAACGTCGACTGCTTCGGCCGCAAGGCTGAAGAGAGTTCTCTCGAAGGACCACACATAACAACTAGGTTTCCTAAAGAAAGAAGATGGCACCTTTACAGCCACCTTAGAAGAGTCCGCAGAACTTTTGCTGCAGACCATGTTTCCAGGCAGCACAAGGACTACCTCCCATTCCAAAAGGGATGTAGCCGGTACTCAACCTTCCCCGAAGGACTGGGCGCTGGCGGCAAAGGTAGTCACGGAGGCCAGACTGGAGTGGGCAGTGGACAGCTTTTCCCCATACAAATCTCCAGGAGTTGACGGTATTTATCCCGCCCTCCTGCAGAGGGGAATGAGCAGACTACGCCCTATTTTGTTGCCAATGCTTCGGGCGTGTCTGGCTTTCAGCTACACACCGAATGCATGGCGAAAAGTAAAGGTTATCTTTATACCTAAGCCAGGACGACAGGATTACACCTTGGCTAAATCCTACAGACCAATTAGCTTAAAATCATTCTTGCTGAAAACGCTAGAAAGACTAAGCGAAAAAGAGATTCGGGAGACTGCTTTGAGCAAGCGACCTCTACATCCGAACCAACATGCCTACATCCAAGGAAGATCCACCGATACGGCCCTACACACAGTTGTAAACCGTATAGAGTGGGCGATGGAGAACACACTCTCCACCTTAGGAATGTTTTTGGATATTGAAGGAGCGTTTGATAAAACGACCTTCAAAAGCATAGAGCTAGCCCTACGAGAGCACGACGTGGACCCCACCCTAAGTAGGTGGGTGGCCGGTATGCTGAGGAATAGGGAAGTAATGATTAATGTAGGTGGCACTGAGATCGAGGCTGTTGTAGACAGGGGATGTCCTCAGGGAGGAGTTCTCTCTCCTGTACTGTGGGATACTGTCGTTGACAGCCTGATACGACGCCTCAATGATCTTGGCTACCACACAATTGGATACGCGGACGATCTAGTCATTCTGCTAACAGGAAAAAACGCAGATACATTATGTGAGATAATGCAAGCTGCAGTAAAAATAGTCGAGGAATGGTGCAGCAGACATACCCTCTCCGTTAATGGAGAAAAGACGAAACTAATCCTGTTCACCAGGAAAAGGAAAATTGGTACACTACAGATGCCAAAAATATTTAACACAACGCTTCAACTTTCGGACGAAGTCAAATACCTGGGAGTTGTATTGGACTGGCGACTGAATTGGAAGAAGCATGTAGATGATAAAGTAGAAAAGGCACGCTCGGCTCTTTGGCAATGTCGTAGGGTGGTGGGAAGGTCGTGGGGTTTAAATCCCAAGATCGCCCTCTGGATCTACACGGCAATAGTCAGACCGATGCTGTGCTATGGAGCTTTAGTTTGGTGGCCCAGAGCCAGACAAAAAACAACAGCCCTGCAACTTGAACACGTTCAGAGAATGGCGTGTCTCAGTGTTACAGGAGCAATGAGGACCACTCCCACAGCGGCTCTGGAGACTCTTCTTTGCTTAGCACCTCTTAACCTTTACATAGAGGAAGCGGCAATGACGACGTCTCTAAGACTTCACTCTCTGGGAGTATGGAACAAGCAAGGCCGCATAACGAAGCACACTCGGATCTTAACGGAGGCGTTCAACAGAATACCCTTGGATGGGTTGTGACCGAATGGGCACAAAATTAATATATGAGAAGACATATAGAATATCAATGAATGATAATTCAGAAGGACGAGCCGACATAGATATCTATGTCGATGGTGCCAAAACAGATAGTGGTTCAGGAGCCGGCATCTACTCCGAACAACTGAACGCACAAATCAGTGTACCTCTCGGCACCCACACGTCTGTCTTACAAACAGAACTGATGGGAATAATGCTAGGAGCTAGAATCATTGCTGAACGTGAAATCGGCAACAAATCAAAACGCATACTTACTGACAGCAAGTCTGCACTACTAGCCCTGGACAGCTGTATGGTTCGATCCGGGCTGGTTTGGGAGTGCAGACAAACGCTAAAGTATGTAACGCAGAGGAATAGTGTGGAACTTTGTTGGATCAAAGGACACAGTGGCAACGAAGGAAACGAGAGGGCGGATGAGATGGCGAAGCGAGCCGCGCGCATGCCCTTCTGGGGACCCGAACCGGCAATCACGCCTTCGGTCGCCCTCTCGAACGAACTCGTAAAGCAATATACCCAAAGACGCCATGAGCAGATATGGGTGAAGTTGAGCAGCTGTCGGCATAGTAGAGCTTGTATGGCGACACCAGACCGTAAGTTGACGAAATTTTATCTCTCACTTTCAAGGGACAAACTGCGTAAACTGGTAGGATTCCTTACGGGACATTACCAGTTTAACAAACATCTACATACGATAGGGGTGGTAACAGACCCAATCTGTCGTGGATGCAATGAAGAAGAGGAAACAGCTGAGCACATTCTTCGTGAGTGTCCAGCCCTAGCCTCCTACAGGGAATCCATACTAGGGGACATCTGGCCTAGTATGGCAAATATCAGGGAGTTTCCACCCTCTGCATTACTCAAGTACATTCAAGCAGTTGGGTGGCTTGACGAGTAGAGGAGCGGGAAAACACCCTGATATGGACTTGGGGAAGGTACAATGGGCCCAAAGGCGAGGCCTAAGTGCCGGCTGGCTACGGTCAGCCCCCATAAATTAAGAATCCAGAATCCAGAATCCAGACACATGCAATTCAAAAGTTATTCTTAACCTGTATTTTAGTAATTTCACTTAATCAATTTTTTAACGACAAGCAGATCTTGCTCGTGAGATGTCAAGAATGTTGTTTGATTAATGATTAGAATTGCTTTAGTTTTTGTAATTTCGGCTCTTTCAGGTGCAATAAATACTTATACATAAACGTCGAGTACCTATTGCACAGCTCGAAAATCTCAAACGAATAATTCTTGTCGTGAATGCAAAGGCGTGACCTTGATCAGAATTCGAACAAATTTGTGTACGCTTATAAATTAAAACCGCCACGCATTCTCTAAAAATACAATGTGTCAATAAATGATTTGGTACCAAGGGTAGGCCTGGAATGTCGTGTCACCACATTGAGTGTTGGATTTTACATTTTACTGAAGGGCAATTGTTAACAAAATCATTGTATAGACGCGACAGTCACCCTCGAATATAAATATTATAAGAACAAAGTATTAATAATTCTCCAATCTTTTATTTAGGTTTTATCTTCTTTTTACTCTAGCAAATTCAAGTCAATTAATCTAATTATTTGTTTCAGAATTCTTTAGAAAATTCACTTATCCAAGTTTAATTTGATTTATTTTAATATCTTAAAGTTTTAGATAGTTTTCCCTAAGTTTCGTAGTTTCTCACTCTAGATTGTAAAATAGTATATCAATAGCACTAAAAACTGAATTTAAACGGTAAAGTTTTAAATTTTTTTGTAACATTTCGGAAAAAAATACATCAAAAGAGCAATTCTTTTAAGATCATTTTCATTAAACTTTTTTATTATATACATAGGTTGTATGAAAACAAGTTTGGATTACTCTGGTCTTCAAAAGAGCAAGGTTTGATGATGTTGTAATGTTGTAATTTTGAGAAAACTGAATTTCTCTTCTGAAATTAATACTTAGGTCAAGCAGAGATAATATATAGGTACAGAGGCAAATAGATCATTTAATTCTTTTAAAAAACTTAATTACTTGTTTTTTCCGAATCCATATCATTATTCTGATTTATGTAACGTACCAATTTTGTGCGATATCGTCATTTCACTTTCGATTTGTTTATACCATCTTCAGGCGTGCTGCAGGGGTCTAGCTTAGATCCTATGGTGCCCTTACTCTATCGTAGAGTGCGAAATGGCGGTCTTGATGAAATTACTGTTCTATAGCTGTAAAAATTCCAGTCAGTGCAGCTTTATAGTGGATCCTGCTGAAATAAAGTCACTATTTGAAGGTTTTATCTACATTTAAGTTAGGTAGGTATATTATTTATTATTTATTATTTAATAATAAATGAGAGTTCAGAATCACGAAATACATTTATGGAAAATTATGTTCTACATGAGTGTTTGCACATAAATGTGCGAGTATCTAGAAAATCCATGCATGCACGGTATCACTTCTTGTGCAAATTTTTTGATGTATTTAAATACATTTAAATGTGTTTATTTTTAGCAGTAGTCAACAGGTGATAGAAATAAACAAAATTTAAGGTTGCGATACTATTAAGTAAGTGTGACCATGTAAAAAAGGTATGTATGGGACTTGTTCTCTGGTAATTAATTTTGTTGCGCCTTATCTATTATCAAAATAATAATGACTAATAAATTGTCTTCTTTTTTTGAACATGAAAATAAAATTGAAATATTTGTTGCTTGGGTAATTATAGACGTCGATAATGGTACAAAAAATTAAAATGAAATGTTACTAAGTACGAAAATTGCGTAGCAATGTTCAATGCTATGAGAGCTGCAAGTCCTACTTTCTCACTTCCGCCGCGCAGAGGTAAATGTTAGTTGCAAAATCCCTACTGAAATCAAGTTTGTTTCAATTTAGTCAGCGACATGATTTCTTAAGCGAACCAAATATTAAGTTAGTTATCAAGAGAAATATGAAGATTACAATAAGAAATTTATTTTGTCCAAGTGTAACCCATCAAATATCGGATTTAGAGGACCCAAAGACAACGGTAATTTTATATTTTTAAGTATAAACACTAGTGAAGATTTTAGTAAACTGGGTACTATTTATTTCTTACTTTCATTTTTAACACAAGAAATTTTTCATTACTTAACATTTTAAAACGATTAATTTATTATCTAATTGTATTTGTATTGATACGTTTCCAAATGAAAGTTTATTGTGTCACATATTGCTTTGTTCCTGTCAACGAGGATTTTGACAGTAATAACCCGGTTGTCAATTGACTGACATACACACAATTCTGACTTTCTCTAAAGTAAATAGTTACAGACCTAAACATAACAAGTGTGCAAAATGTTACACGTATGAGAGTAATTTTTTTTTTGATAATTTCAACCTTAAATATATTTCGTTAACATAACTTCGATTTATGAGAAGTCTGTTTTTTCATGGTCTTATGTTAAGTATCTTTTTTCGAATTTTGGTCAAATTTGTTCTTAAAAAATTGTTATACTTTACACAAAGCGCGAAAATTATGTAATAAAAACATACCTGCTTTATTATTAAGAAAGTTCTATTGTAAGACATATATTATTTGTTAAAGCTTGTTAGTAAGTACCTGGTTTATTTTAGATGTCTGTATAATTTGAAATTGATGTTTATTTTAGCAAAACTGTAGATGATAGTCACAAAGAGTTTTTTTTTAATATAGTGTAAGTAGTTCAATCAACATGTGACTGATTCGTGAACACTTAAAAATCGTGGAAACAAGTTAATAGGGTATTGTAGACAGTAGACTGTCTTCTTTTATAATTATTATGTATTTATTGCAATATTTAGATCTTTTCGTAGAATGATTCAATATAAGTGTATTTGTAAAAAAAATAGCAGACATTCCCATGTTTCTGTCTAAATTAAATTATGACGTTCCTTGTTTTAACATGTTCTATGCTCACATGTTTATTTAGAGACAAGGACTTGATTAATTTGATCCGCTCATGCTTTTCATGTACGTAACTTTTAAATTTACTTACTGGTCTGCTTCCGGCTAACACCTATACAGTCGTCCTCGAAAATTGAACAATTCTAGGTCTGTCGTAGTAGCCTTGTACTTGACGTTTAAACGAATGGGTTGTAGATAAAACCTTTGCATGAAAATCGGATTCTTCCAATATACCTACAAGTGTTGTAGAAATCATCGTACTCATATTTAGGGTAGAACCAAAGCTTGAGACTTTCGTTTAATGTATACCTAATGTATAGCTTTCATTTTGGTGTTTTTGAGATTAATATCAAAAAATATCAGTGACTTGACTAACACACCGTGTATAATTTTAATTGTAGATCTAGTATACAAAAATTTTACATTATAGGCATATTTTCAAATTACTCACGGTACGCAATTTAAAACTGTTTTTTCTAAGAAAAATATTATTATTAGTAACTAAAAACAGAAGCATCAATATAGTAAACAAATAAAAAATATATTAAAATTAATTAACGGTAACTAATAGCAATTTCAGTGTTAAACACCTACTGAGTCAACAAAATCAACACCTTCTAACAACAACAAAATAAATAAACTGTTTTATGTTATAATATATGTTTTAAATTTAACTTTACTTTCTGTTTTGGCGAATAAATGGCACATATCCGATTTCTTTTCTCCTTTCTTTGTTTTGTGTCTTACAGAACTAGTTTCTTCATTTCTCTATTCCGTCGCGTCAGAAATTTTATTCGATTTACTATTTTTTTTTCATTTCGATGTTCTAAATAAACCCATTTAAAAAATGGAGGTAGTAGGGTTAGCTTAAAAATGGTGCACCACAGGAACAAGTAACTCTTTCCACTTAAAAGAATGTATTTGTCGGACAATGTCGTTTTTATGTCATCTATAGTATTGGAAATTTTCGGGATGTTTTAAGACAGGAAACAAATATTATCTTTTTATGCTCCCCAACATAGCGATGAGGCCATCCATCTTAAAATCTTCTTGAGTAAGTCTCAGTTTAAAAATGCAAAAATAATAATATGTTTCTGAATCTGAATTAGAACTACATATTTTAAATTACTTCTAATAAGTGTATCCCAGAGTTATGTGATATATTCCTTTAGAAAGAGAAAATTACCTGTGTAACTGGTCTTAATGCAGATATTATATTTAAGTTCTTTTGTATACTAGAATGGCATTTTGTTTAACTCTATACAACATTAGTTAATAAGTCCTTTTATTTGTTATGTCCACGTACGTAATGTTTCGATAATACATTTAATGAAGCTATTTGACGGTGAGCACGAAAAGATAGATTCAAGGTCATTTATAAGAGGAATGTTTTTTTAATTAAACTTGCACTATCACTTGCCCGGAGTTATAGGATCTATCCCGGAAGCGGTAAATTATGTACACTTCGTGGAAAATTTTCGTTGTCATCATTTGACAGTTTATGGACAAGACAATGTAACAACGCAACACGATCTATTGTTGATGGAAACAAGAATGTTCTCAGTAGTTTTCAGTAATTTAGCGCTTTCCGCATCAGTATGAATAAATACATAATGGAAACAGGAAGTCAGTGTTCATTAATTCCTGGTCTTTACTATAGCAGAAGGGGCAAGGTGAAACCGGCTACCGCCTCATGCTTTTTGTGTTTATTGTACGTACTGTGTAAAAAAAGTGAATTTGAATTATGCGTTTTTAAAATAGAGTATAAAATTTGAAAATGTATCCACTTTTACAGTTAATTTTTTTGACTAATGATTTGACTTATTTTATTTGTAGAATTTATAATATATGACCTATGTGAAAAAGTTCAGAGAACCAAATGGGTTTTGAAAGGAGATGTGTATATTCGAAGAATAAATTTTACTAGGACCAGTTTTTTATGAAAATGCGAAAAGACTGCATTCAAATGACGAATACGTTGTCAGCTACCTGTTTTCAAAAGTTTTACTCATAAATAACTTTTCTTATTGAAAAAATATTTCAGTGATTTTTCAAAATTTAAGCTTATTTGTTTAATACTTTTTGTATTTGACATTTGTTTTTTCTAGCATTTCTTTCATCTGTCTACTCAAAATTTTACTGAACAGTACTTGGTTTATCTATTTTTCTTCTTTCAATTGATTTCTAAATTGTTTGATAAAATTTGTTCCATATATTAACTATATACCTAAACGATTTGATATATATGTAGAGATGTATTTAATACCTAATATTTAATTCGGCTTGAGCAGTTTTAAACATCTCGATTTCAATCATTATTTGATTAAGTTACGAAAACAACGATAGTTTAAAAAGACATTTACATTTCCCATTAGTCGAACAATTCCTTGTCAATGGAAACAAATTCCGGATCAAACTAATTTAAACCTTGTTCACTTCCAAGTCAGTGCCTGAAAATCCCCTCGAAATAAAAGCGCACAAAGGAAGATGGATCATTTTAACGATTTTTATATCATACGCCGCCGTAAATTCGTACCAATGGGTGGAATATTCAATCATCAACAATATAGTGACCAGATATTACAACGTAAGTGCTGTGACAGTTGACTGGACTTCAATTATTTACATGGCTTTGTACGCACCTTTAGTAATTCCAGCCTCTTACATTTTGGACAAAAAGGTAGCACTTTTCAACCATGACTGTTTTTTTGCTATTAATATTTGTGTTAGGGTTTACGTGCTGCTGGTTTAATCGGTGGATTAGGTACTGCCATTGGTACTGGAATTAAAGTATTTTCCACGAGCCGAGATTCGTTTTGGGTGGTACTGGTAGGACAAGGAATTTGTTCTGCTTCTCAACTCCTGATTTTATGTTTACCACCAAGGATAGCAGCTGTGTGGTTCAAGCACAATGAAGTATCAACTGCCTGTTCTTTGGGTGTGTTTGGAACACAGATCGGGTGTGCTTTTGGATTTCTGTTGTCACCTATTATTGTAAAAAATCATGACAACATTGAAGACGTTGGGTACGATTTTAAAGTACTTTGTTGGTCGCTCACTATTTCTATGATAATTCCAGCTCTTGCCGTTATATTCTGTAAGGTTGGTATAAACACAGTTTTTTTTCATTAACTAAACTGCTTTTAGATTTTCCTCAACAACCACTTCATCCACCAAGCATCAACCAAGTTGAAGAGAGAAGTCGAACGGACAAATTTTCAACAAAGGCTTTTTTTGAATCCATGTTGGTTTTAGCCAAGAATGTACCTTTTCTTATTCACGTTATGGCTTATGGTATCAATATTGGTGTCTTTTCAGCCATAGGAACTCTATTGAATCAGTTGATACTTCTATATTTTAAACATCTGCCTGTATGTTTTCTGTTTGTTGTTGACCGACACGTTATAGTTATTTCTTTTAAGGATGCAGAAGAATTTGCTGGTAGGACAGGATTAGTCATGATAGTTATTGGGATGGTGGGTTCTATTGTCTTTGGAATATTTTTGGATAAAACACACAAATATAAGTATTTTTTTATTTAACATGCAAAAAAAGATATTATTTTTTTTTTATTTTAGGGAAACAACACTCTTCACATATTTTATGTCTTCAGCAAGCGTTGTTGCACTTATGTTTACTTTAGAAATGCAGTCAAAAGTTTTGGTGTACATTGCTGTCGGTAGTGTAGGGTCAGTATACTTCTATACTATCGGGGTGTATAAAAATAAAATATTTTTAGACTATTTACGAATGCTTATATGCCAGTAGGTTTTGAAATGGCCATGGAATTAACTTATCCTTCATCCGAAGGTACTACAACGGGGTTACTTATGGCCCCATCTCAGATTTTAGGTGTTATTTTTGCTTTAATGGTAGGAAAACTTAATTCCGTGGTAGGTCCTTTCTGGTCACTCGGAAGTCAAGCGATTTTGTTAGCAGTTGGTACACTAGTGACCTGTTTTGTGCCAAATAAATTAAGAAGACAAGAAGCGTTTAAACGTCGTTTAACTGATGTCTTACCAACGGAAACAATAAAATAATAAGAACATATTGTTTTAAATATTAATGTAACTGATTTGTGCCACCAATGGTATAATACAATTTATGTGTTAACAATTATCTTTAATTTTACCGACGGAACGCACGGTGTTAGTGCCTTCTACCCGGGCGGTTGCTCGGGCGCCAGCTTTCCCTTTGGAAAGGTGGCACTCTGGTCAGAGAAACGGATCTCCGGTGGTCTCGTGAGCGGCCCCGACAGAAACAAATAATACTCCTGTTAAAGTTAAAAATAATAATATTCAGCTTTTGTTTCCTGAAGATAATGATAAATAAGAAAACTATCGGAGTAAAAAAACTTTCAGTAAACAACAACTGGAAACCCGGTCAATGGCCTCCCTGGTGGCTGGTCAGAGGAGGCTGTGGCACTGAAACGAAAATCATACGGGGATGGTATACCGAAAGACGAGGATCGCGCGACGGCAGTGACAAAACGCTTTTCGGCTCTTACTGTGGTGTTGGTGGCGGTTACAACGGTACGTACGTTAGGTGGGGCGAATGGTAATCTTCAGAGTTTTTTATTTACCTAGAACCAGAAAATACCAGATATTTTATAAGCCTGGCTTACCAAACTGCATCAACCGTGGCTTAATTGATACTTTGCTAAGAGGTATTATATCAAATCACACAAAATGCCAGGATATACGAGTATTTAACCAAAAGTTAATAAAGTTAAACATTTGTAAATATGTAATGGTGTTTTATTTGTCTTTGTTTTGTACAATACATATGTATACTAAGGAATTTGTTTCGTGTTGCCCCTAGCAGTGCTTTCGTTTAAAACTTATAGGGTCATCCATTGTGGAAGGAGACCATATTCTGAATACATTTTTCGACAAATCAAAATTCGCTAAAAATTGATTTAGACATTGAGTTCCAGAGCAGTCTCAAATATTGGGGTTCAAAATTTTTGAATTATTATATGCAATATATGACCTGTCTGTTAACTTTTTAAGTTAGATCTTCAAGAACATGTTGCAAACTGATTCTGTCTGTCTATCTATGTCTACTTCTCTCCTTACATTATTTTTTCGTCAGTTCCCAAATCTTCAATTCACCAAACTAGCATTACGTCCATTAAAAATCTTAAAAGATGGTTTTATCTAACTTACACAGTTTTTAAATAACTTTACTGACACATTTTAAAATGTTAATTCAAAACTTTAAAACCAAACGGAAACAACGTAATATTGATACGTAGAAAGTTCCACAAAGTAACCTTTGCCGTAAATTGCTTTTGATGAGGCACGTGTTTCCCGTTATACAAAGATAACATTTTTAAATAAATGACTATGATTTAACATACCACCGTACGAAGTTCATGCGACAACGACGATGTTCTGTTGTTATAGTAGCAGCATGTGTACATACTAGCTAACACAAAGCTATTTTTTTGTATTACCTGTGTGAAGAATTTGGGTAACGCCAACTCTCTCATCTTTTCTAAATTTTTATAATGATTTATAACTAATGTTGTTATTTTACGATTAGTGATCATGAAGCTGAAAGCGATTGCTATCGCTGTAATATCAGTGCTTGGAGAAAATTAGCTGTAAGCTAACAAGTGCAAGAGACAAGCTGTGAAATAAGCTTGAGGGGACTTATTTTCCAGCTGCAAAAACCTACCAAACTTTCAAAAAATTGGTCTAAAGAGTTTAGACAGTACTTCCCTCGCTGTCGGAAACTTGACGACTGCATGCCTATTGTGTTTTTTTTCTCATTACATTTTTGTAGTGGGAATTTAAAAAAAAAATTGCGATGACGTCATCAACATTTTTGCAAGGACACGTATATCAGTTGGGATAGATGTAGTGTAATACTAAGAATAAAATTATTATATTCTCAAATTTTCGGGAAAATGAATTCGGTCGTTTTGAATATTGATTTGTAATAATCAATAAAATAACGAAACAATTTACTCACGTATACGTATCAGAGGCAACTGAAAATCGTGTATGTATAAACATTCTTAATTTAAGATGACAGGCGTAACAGCATACGTGAGAGTCAAACAGAGAAACTGTAAACAAAACGACCATCGGTTTTATTGCTTCGACTTCCGCTTATTATATAAAACATTGGGTTTTATTTTAATTCTTGACGGTGAAATTCACAATTGGTTGATTATAAACATGTCTATTTCACATTCGCGGAACCAAGTGAGCGCATAAAACAAATGCAGGTCTGTAATGTTAAAGTCGATGTAAATAAGCGTGCTACCCTTATGTTTCAACCGAGTTTTTCCTTTAACAAATTTTGTGTCTACCAAATTGGGTTGGTTGGGGTGTAATACTAATAATAAGTGTTGCCTTTAATTTAATCAATAAAATAAATTGACTTCATTAATTTTTTTGAACCACCTCTTAAGAAAATCTAAAAAATATGAATGGAATGATAAATCGCAAGTACAAACTCATCATATTTTTTGCATTTTAGATAGGATTTATTCAGCAAAATTTAAGGGTGACGTCATCAATTTTTTTAGGAGGGATGAACAAATACATTTTGAACAAAAGTTTACCATGCTTATAATAACTTTAAAATATTCCCAAGATTTCAAAGCATTCGCTTTTGTAATTCCTGATTAAATCGATAAAATAAAATAAATTCACGCCTTCATTAATTTTTTTGAGTCACCCTGCATATGCAAATCCAAAAATATGAATGGAATGATAAATCACAAGTACAGACTCATCATATTTTGTACATTTTGGATACGATTTATTCGGCAAATTTTGAGCTGACGTCATCAGTTTTTTGTAGAAGATAACCAAATATATTTTGACTAAAAATTTATTATGCTCTTTATAACCTTAAAACATCTGCAAGATTTCAAAGCATTCGGTTTTGTAGTTCCTGATTTAATCAATAAAATAAATTTACGCATTCATTAATTTTTTTGAGTCACCCTGTATATGCAAATCGAAAAAATTTGAATGGAATGATAAATCACAAGAAGAGACTCACCATATTTTGTACATTTTAGATAGGGTTTATTCAGCAAAATTTTATGGTGACGTCATAAATTTTTTAGGGGGGACGACCAAATACATTTTGATCAAAAATTTACCATGCTTATGATAATTTTTAAATATCTTCAAGATTTCGAAGCATTCGGTTTTGTAGTTCCTGATTAAATCAATAAAATATATTTACGCATTCATTAATTTTTTTGAGTCACTCTGTATATGCAAATCCAAAAAATATGAATGGAGTGATAAATGACAAGTACAGGCTCATCATATTTTGTACATTTTAGATATGATTTATTCGGCAAACTTTCGAGCTGACGTCATCAAGTTTTTGGAGGGGATAAGCAAATATATTTTGACTAAACATTTATTATGCTCTTTATGACCTTAAAACATCTGCAAGATTTCAGAGCATTCGGTTTTGTAGTTCCTGATTAAATCAATAAAATATATTTACGCATTCATTAATTTTTTTGAGTCACATGCAAATCCAAAAAATATGAATGGAGTGATAGATCACAAGTACAGACTCATCATATTTTGTACATTTTAGATATGATTTATTCCACAAACTTTTGAGCTGACGTCATCAAGTTTTTGGAGGGGATAAGCAAATATTTTTTGACTAAAGATTTATGATGCTCTTTACAGCCTTAAAACATCTGCAACATTTCAAAGCATTCTGGTTAGCAGATTAAAAATTAAATTTCAAAATGTTGTTTAAAGCTTCTTACCAAGATTAGGTACTAAAATTTAATTGTACTTAATTACATGTAATAACACATAATTAAGTACTAAAAAATTGTCTCCAGTTAGCAGTGATAAAGTTACAATCAGTTGTAGTTAATTACAAATTTGGCAAAGTACGACTTGCACTTAAGTTGTTATGGCTAATAATGTTCAGTTACAATTGATTATTATTTTTATCGATTTTCATTACTTAATGAACTGATTATTATTTAACGCAAACAGGTAGAGTTAACTAATATATAATGATCCATCCATATGTTGCAAATTTACATATCCATGAGAAGGTTTATCATTTTAATATTTAATTCGACATGTGAGCAATTTTTTAATATCTTGACGTCAATTATGTTATTTGATTAAGTTTAGAAGACAATAGCAGTATACGACGACGTGTACCTTTTCCATAAGTCGAATTCTTGTTGTATTAAGATTATTAGCTTATTTAAAAACGTGTGATTACACTGAATAAACCACAAGCCCGTTGTATTTGTTACAATTCCTTACTAAGTTAATAATGGAGACACAAAATCCGGATGAAACTAATTTAAATCTTCTCACATCCAAGCCAGTGTCTGAAAATCCCCTCGAAATCAAAGCGTACAAACGAAGATGGATCATTTTAACGATTTTTATATCATACGCAGCCATAAATGCCTATCAATGGATAGAATATTCAATTATCAACAATATAGTGACAAGATATTATAATGTAAGTGCTGTGACAGTAGACTGGACATCGATTATTTTCATGGCTCTATATGCACCTTTAGTAATCCCCGCTTCTTACATTCTGGACAAAAAGGTACCACTTTTCGACCAAGACGACTTTTGCTATTAATATGTGTGTCAGGGTTTACATGTTGCTGGTTTAATCGGTGGATTAGGTACTGCCCTTGGTACTGCAATTAAAGTATTTTCCACAAGCCGAGATTCTTTTTGGGTTGTACTCTTAGGACAAGGAATTTGTTCTGCTTCACAATTGATGATTCTGTGTTTACCACCAAGAATAGCAGCTGTGTGGTTCAAACCCAGTGAAGTATCAACTGCTTGTTCTTTGGGTGTATTTGGAATACAGCTCGGGTGTGCTCTTGGGTTTTTGTTGTCACCTATTATTGTGAAAAATCATGACAACATTGAAGAGGTTGGGTATGATTTTAAGGTACTCTGCTGGTCACTTACTGTTTCCGTGATAATTCCAGCTCTTGCTGTTATATTCTGTAAGACTGGCATAACATTCTTTTTCTCCGTTAAATTAATTGCTTTTAGATTTTCCCGTGCAACCACCTCATCCACCCAGCATTAACCAAGTAGAAGAGAGAAGCCGGACGGAAAAATTTTCAACGAAAGCATTTTTTGAATCCATACTGGATTTAACAAAGAATGTACCTTTTGTCATTCACGTTGTAGCTTATGGTATCAACATTGGTGTATTTTCAGCTATAGGAACTCTATTGAATCAGTTGATATTACAATATTTTAAACATCTACCTGTACGTTTTTTGTTTGTTATTACTGATATGTTATAGTTATTTTGCTTTAAGGATGCAGAAGAATTTGCTGGTAGGACAGGTCTAGTCATGATAGTCGTTGGAATAGTAGGTTCTATTGTTTTTGGAATATTTTTGGATAAGACACACAAATATAAGTACTATTTTTGTTTAAGAGCAAAGAACGATATTTATATTTTCAATTTTAGAGAAACAACACTTTTCACCTACTTTATGTCTTCAGCAAGCGTTGTAGCATTTATGTTTACTTTAGAAATGCAGTCAAAAGTTTTGGTATATATTGCTGTCGGTGTTGTAGGGTTAGTACATTTTTTTCGATATTGACACGTATAAAAATCTTTTTTCTTTTAGTTTATTTACAAATGCCTATATGCCAGTAGGTTTTGAAATGGCCATGGAATTAACTTACCCTTCTTCTGAAGGTACCACAACAGGGCTACTTATGGCACCATCTCAGATTTTAGGAGTTGTTTTTGCTTTAATGTTAGGAAAACTGAATTCCACGATAGGTCCTTTCTGGTCCTTAGCATCCCAAGCGTTACTATTAGGAGTAGGTACAATAATAACTGGTTTTGTGCCGAATAAATTGAGAAGACAGGAAGCTTTCAAACGACGTTTAAATGATGTTTTACCAACGGAAACAATAAAAAAATAAGAATAATATGTACATTTTTAATTATTAATCTAGCGAAACTAAGTCATTAGTGATACAATTCAAATGTATACTTGAACAATCCCCTTTAATCTTTGAGTGAAAAAGATAATTGTATTAAAGTAGGCACATTTCACATCGTCACCAGTCTTGATAAAGTCGTACTGCAATGAGTTCCAAAGACACAGAGATTAACCATTTGCCTCTTTTACAAAGTATTTCTGGCCACAAACTGTATAAAAGAAGATGGGTTATTCTAACGTTATATATTTTATACGCCGCCATTAACGCTTTCCAATGGTTCGAATACGCTATTGTAGCTAATGTCATTATGAAATTCCATGGAGTCAGTTCTGTTTCTGCGGATAGGACATCAATAATATATACGGCTTTGTACATGCCTATGGTAATTCCGGTATCCTATCTTATGGAGAAATTGGTGATTAATTAGTTTAATAGTTAATAAATTAGTAATAAAATCTACTCAGTTTCTTATAGGACCTGCGCAAAATATCAATAATTGGTGTACTGGGAACTGCTACCGGCACCATTATCAAAATTTTTTCCTTATCACCTGGCAGAATGTGGATGACTTACCTATCTCAAACCATTTTGTCTTCAATGCAGGTATTTATTTTAGCTCTTCCTCTACGAATTGCAGCTACTTGGTTGAAGCTAAAGAGGTATAACGCGTTGCGTAAGTTAGCTCTAGTCTTGTACTCTCAATGTTTAAGGTATCTTTAGCATGTGCTTTGGGGGATTTGGAACGCAATTGGTGCAAGCTGTGGGTTTTATAATTCCTCCAATGGTTGTAAAAAATACTGACAACTTGGAACAAATTTCTGATGACTTAGGAGTATTGATTGAGAGTTTGGCGGCTTTTACTTCCGTTGTTACCATAATTATTCTGGTTTGTATTGATACACAAGTATGTATGATTAAATTTTTCCTTAGATTTTCCAGCACGCCCGCCTTTACCACCAAATCAAGTCATTTGTGAGGGAAGAGAAAGTAGTTTTTTGAAATCTCTAAAAAGACCTCTCAGCGATAGAAGTTTCGGTTTTCACGCAGTTGCATATGGGATTAGTATTGCGGTGTTTGTTTCAATATCTACTTTACTGAATCAATTTATGTTGTTCTACTTCGCAGTAAGTAGTAGTGTGATGGAGAAATTGTTTTACTAACGGCTATAATAAGGGGTCTGAAGAAGATGCTGGCCGGATAGGGTTGATCATGGTAGTTTTAGGGATGGCAGGAGCTATTGTTTTTGGTCATGTTTTAGATAAAACTCATTCCTATAGGTAAGTATGTTTTTTTATCGAAAAAAATTACTTATAGAATAACAACTTTGAGGTTGTATATAGTTTAGATATCGATAATTAAAATAAGTTGAGCCTGAATAAGGGAATTTCCGCCGCACGTTTTACGGGAACACGTACCTACATTATTGTTGTAAAATTGCATTAAAACCATGAACGGTGGCAAAAACCTAATGTGAACTGTGAATTAACGTTAAGGAGGGACTGTGGCGTCGTATGCGACTTCATACGATTAACTTTAACGCATGTTTACACTCACAACACTAAAATAAGAAGTGGACCAAAACACCCCTCTACAATCTACCTGCGCAACGGTCCAAATCTCTAACTAATAACCTAAGAGAGTAGTCTTCTCATAATCCCCCAACTCCCTATGATGACGTTAACATATTATAAAATGCGTCCAGTGAATCTATAGTGGAACATTACGGTGAAATGCTCAGATGAGGATCAGTTTTCTAAGAAGTCAGTAGTTCCTCGTTAGTTTTTCAGTCTTTTATTGTATTATTTTGTTCGATGGTACTTACTCGTAATATTAGCAAGGATTCAGAATATGCTAACCCAAGTGCCAAGATAACAATACTTATATTGTCTTTTTCATATACTTATGTCGTGCTCGAGACGCAATTGTCATTTTTCAATTAAATTTTTGTCGGTGTTTTAGCTTCTTACAAAGATTAGGTACTTAAATTTAATTGTACTTAATTACATGTAATGACACATAATTAAGAAAAATATGTACTAAAAAATGTTCTGCGGTTAGCAATGATAAAGTCACAATCAGTTATAAGTAATTACAAATGAATTTGGGTGAGTACGTTTTGCATTTAAGTTGGGGCTTATAATGCTAGGTATAATTGATTATTTTTATTCATTTTCATTACTTAATGAACGGATTAATTAACGCAAAACAGGTGCAGTTTAATAACTAGTATATAATAATCCATCTACATGTTACAAATTCACATATCCATGGGAAGGTTTATCATTCTAATATTTAATTCGACATGTGAGCAATTTTTGAAGTTTTAACTCCTTTCTTTTCGTGTTATAGAACACGCATACGACGCGCGCCGGAATAGGATGTCGAGTTCGAGCTACGAGCTACCGTTGTTCCGTACCGACACCGACACCAGTCTGAACATAGGCATGTAACCCCGCGTTCTAGAAAGAGAGAGAAAATAGATAAACTGGGGGTCGATTCTCGAACTCGTTCGCAAAGATGCGAGTACGAATAGATGCGCATGGCAAGATGCTGTTCGAAACGAAAATCCGTCTTCTTGAACGAGATCCAATGCGAATAGCAACTCGATGCGCATACGAAGGCCTCTGTTCGAGTGAGGATATGGCAACAGCGGCAAAATACAGAGGATATTTAAATGCGACAGTTGGCAGAACTCACGCGGGGTGAGTTTGAATCCAAGAAGGACTATTTTAATCTGTTACCTCCAAATTTATTAAGCAGCAAAACACGTATTAGCAGGATTGGCTCGATTTAAATTATTGCTTTGAAGTATTATTGTTTTTTTTTTAAGTTTTCTTTACAGTTTGGAATATGTAATGTAAAATAAGTTGAACTTTAACTAAAATACAATATTTCCAACAAAATGGAACGATAATTTTTTTAAATTGTATTTTAAAGATTATAGGAGTGAATATTATATTAATAACACTATCAATTCCTTTTTTGCAATGTAAATTACAATAAATTCTCTTTATTGTTCAAAACTAAGAAGTACGACTCAAGGATGACATTAAGTCGGATACTTACTATTCTAATTAGGATTTTAATTCCAAATAATTGACAGACTAAAAAAACATAAAAAAATCGTGATTAAAAAAAATGTTTGATTTTACGATTTTATGCAACCCTACGTATTTAATACAAATTCTTGTGATTTTTTTACAATGATGCAGATACAAACTTAATGTTTATTTTTGAGTGGGACCACTACAGCCAGCAGGTATTTGCATATTAATACCTTTATTACTGCGTGTATTCTCCTAGTTTATAGAAAATTCTTAGGGTTTGGTTACCCGATGTTTATTCAGGTATACTTACGCATACCATTACAACCGTTTTGTACAGTAAATGATCTTTCAGAATTCATTTTAGTTTTTATTTTTGAAACAACTGCACGTATACGTATTTGAAATGTTCGCAGTGGCTAGCCAGAGTCACCTAAAAATTATTGTTACAACCATAATAAGAAGGTGTTAATGTATTATTAGACATTACTCAAAATATCGCAATAGTGCGTTGTTTCTTCATACATATGTAGCTATTATGTGTAGTACACAGAAATCGGCTGTTTCAATTTAAAATTTTTAAATTTGCATCACAAATGTCAACATTGTAAATGAAATTATAAAATTCCCACAATCAAATTGATACATTACAATTTGTGTATTTTTGGAATGGTAACCCTTTCTATTGATGTATATTAACAGATACAGCAGATTAAAGATTATATTGACGTTAACACAGAACGACCAAAACCAAACAGAGTGGCTAACATAAAGCTTTCACCACTCGCAAACCAAAATGCGATCGCATCTACCCACTCGTAACTTGACGTTCGTATACGCTCGAACATTTGCGTATACCAACGTGTGCGCGCGGTTCGAGAATACCGAATGTTCAAAACCGTTCGGAAGTTGGCCACTTGCGTATGCGGAACTTATTCGAACGAGTTCGAGAATCGACCCCCTGGTGTGAATGTGTCGGTAAGTGAAGAAAAATACGTCGGAGGTCACCAGTGTAAGCAAACGGAATCGAACCGCACATATCCCGCTTGCCGGGCAGGTGCCTTGAGCACTAGGCTACAGAGCGGCTGATTTTTACTTCGCTTACCCAGTTATTATTGTGCTGCTACAATAATGTAATCATGACGCGCTGCCGGGACTCAGTAGCGGGCGATAATTACTGAATTTAATCGTCACTTATTCTATAAATACAATTAACGAAAACGTAATTAGTAAAACGGATAAGTAAATGAGAACGGGAATTAACAGCAGAGTGCAACGAAGCAACGTTATTCTATTCTGAACTAAACGAAGTGCAGCCCGTAACTGCAATGAATTCCCATTTCGTACGAGCCATACCGAGTTTGACCTTGTCTAACCCTACGGCCATCCGCTGTCTAGTAATCATAGGAAGAATGTTATGTCCTAACCTCCCTTTTACATCCTAGTTTGCTTTCTACTGTTTTACTGTGGTGTATATACATATGTTTTTCATGATACCATTATTGTGACAATGGATAGTAGTGAAAGCGAGCCACCAGAAACTGAGAAATGTCACAACAAATTTAAGTAAGTAGGTAATGTAGATTTTTTTTGTAGATATCTGCAAATACTTTGATTAGAGGATTTGATAATAAGCTTTGTAATATGGAAATTAATAAACAGTATCTTTTGTATGAGTACCTAAAAATAAACTATTTAATAAACTATCTAATAAAATGTGTTCATTAGACTGTTCCAACGACTAAATTAGGTCAACAATTGATGCCGTTTTGGCACGCTTTTTGACTCATTTAATAACTGATATTTATATCACTCATTTTAGTCACCATAGGCCAGTAATAACTGTATTAAATGACAGGGATAAAGATACGAAGGCGATAACGCTACGATTGAACAGTAATTTGTATTTTAAATCGAATAAGTTATAAATACCGCTCTAGCATTTGTAAATATTTACTTGTTACTTTAGTTGGTAAATTACACATTGTACTTTAATTATTTTTATACAATATTATTATAATAATTAATTATGATATTTCTATTTGATAAATAGTACCCGTAATGATAGAAGTCTTGCCTGAATGCCGGTCATTTCCGGGTCAGTGGTGGGTCTTAAAAAAAGTATTTTTTATAATAAACAACAATTGACAATAGATGGACATTTACTTTAATTAACCCCATCGTCATCATTAATCATTATTTTGTCAAAAAATACAAATGCAACATATTTTTGGTTTTTATTATTTTTTGAGAAAAAATTAATGACTTCGCCGCGTATACGTGTTTAATTTTTATAAACTGACAACGCAGAGTTAAAACTCCATCCGTGCGTCCCTGTGTCGACGCACTCTTTTTGTTAATATCTTGACGTCAGTTATGTTATTTGTTAAGTTTGTCAAGTTTAGAAGACAATAGCAGTATACAACGACGTGTTCCTTTTCCATAAGTCGAATTTTTGTTGTATTAAGATTATTAGCTTATTTAAAAGCATGTGATTACACTGAATAAACCACAAGCCCGTAGTATGTGTTAGTTCCTTACTAAGTTAATAATGGAGGCTCAAAATCCGGATGAAACTAATTTAAACCTTCTTACATCCAAGCCAGTGTCTGAAAATCCCCTCGAAATCAAAGCGTACAAACGAAGATGGATCATTTTAACGATTTTTATATCATACGCAGCCCTAAATTCTTATCAATGGCCAGAATATTCAATTATCAACAATATAGTGACAAAATATTATAATGTAAGTGCTGTGACAGTAGACTGGACATCGATTATTTACATGGCTTTATATGCACCTTTAGTAATCCCCGCTTCTTACATTCTGGACAAAAAGGTACCACTTTTCGACCATGACGATTTTTACTATTAATATATGTGTCAGGGTTTACGTGTTGTTGGTTTAATTGGTGGATTAGGTACTGCCATTGGTACTGGAATTAAAGTCTTTTCTACAAGCCGAGATTCATTTTGGGTGGTACTCTTAGGACAAGGAATTTGTTCTGCTTCTCAACTGATGATTTTGTGTTTACCACCAAGAATAGCAGCTGTTTGGTTCAAACCCAGTGAAGTATCAACTGCCTGTTCTTTGGGTGTATTTGGAACGCAGGTTGGGTGTGCTCTTGGGTTTTTGTTACCACCTATTATCGTAAAAAACCATGAAAACGTTGAAGACGTTGGGTATGATTTTAAAGTGCTTTGCTGGTCCCTCACTGTTTTCATGATACTTCCAGCGCTTGCCGTTTTGTTTTGTAAGGTTGGTATAAACATCGCTTTTTTCCATTCAATTAATTGCTTTTAGATTTTCCTGTACAACCACCTCATCCACCAAGTATCAATCAAGTTGAAGAGAGAAGCCGGACGGAAGAATTTTCAACGAAGTCATTTTTTGAATCCATACTGGATTTAGCAACGAATGTACCTTTTGTCATTCATGTTGTGGCTTATGGTATCAACATTGGTGTTTTTTCAGCTATAGGAACCCTGTTGAATCAGTTAATATTACAATATTTTAAACATCTGCCTGTATGTTTTTTATTTGTTGTTTACTGATATATTATAATTATTTTGTTTCAAGGATGCAGAAGAATTTGCTGGCAGAACAGGCCTAGTCATGGTAGTCGTTGGAATAGTAGGTTCTATTGTCTTTGGAATATTTTTGGATAAGACACACAAATATAAGTAGTTTTTTGTTTAAATGCAAAAAACGATAGTTATATTTTTTTATTTTAGGGAAACAACACTGTTTACATATGTCATGTCTTCAGCAAGCATTGTTGCATTTATGTTTACTTTGGAAATGCAGTCAAAAGTTTTGGTATATATTGCTGTCGGTATTGTAGGGTTAGTATATTTTTTACACTATTGACACGTATAAGACTGATTTTTTTTTAGTTTATTTACAAATGCTTATATGCCAGTAGGTTTTGAAATGGCTATGGAATTAACTTACCCTTCTTCTGAAGGTACTACAACGGGGCTACTTATGGCACCGTCTCAGATTTTAGGAGTTGTTTTTGCTTTAATGTTAGGAAAACTGAATTCCATGATAGGTCCTTTCTGGTCCTTAGCAACGCAAGCGTTACTATTAGCAGTAGGTACAATAATAACTGGATTTGTGCCGAATAAATTAAAAAGACAAGAAGCTTTCAAAAGGCGCTTAAATGATGTTTTACCAACGGAAACAATAATAAAATAAGAACAAAAATGTATATTTTTAATTATTATTAATCTAGCTAAACTATGTCATTAGTGATACAATTCAAACGTACACTTGAACAATTCCCTTTAATCTTTGAGTAAATAAGATAATTGTATTAAAGTGGGCACATTTCACATCGTCACCAGTCTTGATAAAGTCGTACTACAATGAGTTCCAAAGACACAGAGATTAACCATTTGCCTCTTGTACAAAGTACTTCTGGCCACAAACTGTACAAAAGAAGGTGGATTATTCTAACGTTATATATTTTATACGCCGCCATTAACGCTTTCCAATGGTTCGAATACGCTATTATAGCTAATGTCATTATGAAATTCTATGGAGTCAGTTCTGTTTCCGTGGACTGGACATCAATAATATATATGGCTTTGTACATGCCTATGGTAATTCCGGCATCCTATCTTATGGAGAAATTGGTGACTAGTTAATAAATTAGTAATAAAATCTACTTACTTTCTTATAGGACCTTCGCAAAATAGCAATAATTGGTGTACTAGGAACTGCTACCGGTACCATTATCAAAATTTTTTCATTATCACCTGACAGAATGTGGATGACTTACCTAGCTCAAACCATTTTGTCTTCAATGCAGGTATTTATTTTAGCCCTTCCTCCACGAATTGCAGCTACTTGGTTTGGAGCTAAAGAGGTATAACGCGTTAACTAAGTTAGCTCTAGTCCTGTACTCTCAATGTTTGAGGTATCTTTAGCATGTGCCTTGGGGGTATTTGGAACGCAACTGGGTCAAGCGCTGGGTTTTTTAATTCCTCCAATGGTTGTAAAAAATAGTGACAACTTGGAACAAATTTCTGATGAGTTAGGAGTGTTGATTAAGAGTTTGGCGGTTTTTACTTCCATTGTTACCATCATTATTCTGGCTTGTACTGATACACAAGTATGTGTGATTAAATTTTTCCTTAGATTTTCCAGCACGCCCGCCTTTACCACCAAATCAAGTCATTTGTGAGGAAAGAGAAAGTAGTTTTTTGAAATCTCTAAAAAAACTTCTCAGCGATAGAAGTTTCGGTTTTCACGCAGTTGCATATGGGATTAATATTGCGGTGTTTGTTTCAATATCTACTTTACTGAATCAGTTTATGTTGTTCTACTTCGCGGTAAGTAGTAGTGTGATGGAGAAAATTTTTTACTAACGGCTATAATAAGGGGTCTGAAGAAGATGCTGGCCGGATAGGGTTGATCATGGTAGTTTTAGGGATGGCAGGAGCTATTGTTTTTGGTCATGTTTTAGATAAAACTCATTCCTATAAGTAAGTATGTTTTTTTATCGGAAAAATTATTTATAGAATTTTTGTAGAAGAACAACTTTGAGCATGTATATTTCTTCCTTATTATCAGTAATAGCTTTCATGTACTCTTTGAAATATCGTTCTAAAATTTTCGTTTATATTTCTGGAGCATTAGTCGGGTAATTTTTTTTCCAAAATAGTCATAAGTATGCCTCATATTAAATTTCCAGACTTTTTATCAATGCCTATATGCCTGTAGGTCTTGAACTGGCAATAGAACTTACTTATCCAGAACCAGAAAGTACCAGCTCTGGAATACTCATCTCTATGACTCAGACTTTAGGTGTTATTTTCACATTACTCTTAGGATGGCTGTTTTCAACGGTTGGCTGTTTCTGGGCTTTAGCAAGTATGGTTTTTTTCCTCTTGGTTGGTACTTTCTTGACGGCTATGATATCGAATGTCACGAAACGACAAGATGTATTTAAACAAGAGTTAATAAAGTTAAACGTTTGCAAATACGTGGTGGTGTTTTATTAGCGCTGTTTTTTACAATATACTAAAAAACTCGCATCGTGTTGTCCAATGTACCTAATTGAATTTGATTTACCTTTTCAAATGTATGTTAAATTAGACTTTTTGATATGTCACACTATTACATATTATTTGTTGATTAAAACGCTTATCCAATATTGTAATACTATCTAATCCAATATCTGCAGCGTTGGGTTTCCGATACACGATATGATTTTTTTAACAAGAAATGTAGATAAAGTGCATCTATCGCAGTTGTGCAAACGGAATTGGAACCATAAATGGAGCAGAAGAAATTGGACTGATCAGTTTCCTCAATGCGCATTCTGCTAAGTTTAAAGTCCCAAGAGCAAACGGAAATGATCTGAGCGAAACCGCAGTGACCGATTAATCTGCGGATTCACGCATGAGTGCTGGTAAGCAAACAAAAAGTTGACATTACGATCTATGGAAATGAATTATCCTAGCGTTCAACTTTTCATTTACGGTTCGGATTCTGAATAACTTTTAGTACGTGTAGATTATTTCACACATTTAGTTTAAATGGATAAATTTAAAAATCGAAGTCTACTACACTGATGCATGAGTGAAGCTCATGCTCCACATTTATAAAGTTTATGACTAGGGCCCGGATTTTAGGTCACAAAAAATGAGGAAAAAGGCGCCTAAAATAGGCTTTAAAAAACGTCAAATTAGGAGAACTTTGTGGTAATTCTGCAAAATGTTGAATGACTAACGCCAAAGTTTTTCATTGATCAAATTGTGAACAATCCACCTTATTTTCTCGAAAATTTGACAATACAGTAATGTTGTGCCCACCTATTTTAAATACTAAAAAATAAAGAATAACATTAAGGCACTTACCCAAAATATATAATATTCAGAACATTTTTCCCATTACAGCTTAATTAATAATTTTAATCGCCCTAGAGTACGAAAAAATGGACCTCCCGTTTTCGTCCGTCTGCTGTCTGTCTGTCACCTGTCTGTCGTCGGCCTGTCGTCTGTCTATCGTTTGTCTGTCGTCTGTCTCTCGTCTGTCTGTCGTTTGTCTGTCGTCTGTCTGTCGTCTATCTGTCGTCTGTCTGTCGTCTGTCTGTTGTCTGTCTGTCGTTTGTCCGTCGTCTACCTGTCGTCTGTCTGTCGCCGGTCTGTGTCCTAAAGTTCTACATTCTACATGCATTTTAGGAATATCATGTAGGTGGTAAAACACTAACCAAAATTTGGTTAATCATCACGTCAACAACGGGAACATGTCATATAATAGGTATATAGTAAATGTTGTTTAAATTTTATAAAATAAGATATTCCTGCACTTGTGGTTTATGAATATTGTCCTTGCCATTTCTATTGAAACACAACCTGTTGATTTTTGCTTAAAATTTAGCAATTGGTAACAGCTTTCGGTTGATTGACAACGGCTTTTAGTTAGAAAATTGTCTAAATATGAACGTTGCCAAATTTACGATTAACAAGTGGTGTTTCAATAGAAATGGCAAAGACTATACATGTTAAATTTTTACCTTAAGACATCCATATTTTTGAAAATAATATCAAAATTAAAAAACAACATTTTATAATTTATAACGTTGAAACTGCAAAACCGATCGCTCTGAAATTTTGCAAAACTTTTAAGGTCATCGAAAATATTGTAAATCGTTAATTAAAATTTATCCATTTATCCTCTCCCAAAAAACTGATGACGTCATCTTATAATTTTGCCGAATTCCGTTCCTATCTAAATTATGTAAAATATTATGAATCGATACTTGTGGTTTATGAATGCATCCATATTTTTTAGAATTACTTATACAGGAAGGCTAAAAAAATATTAATGAATCAAGAACTGCTCATCCCATTTTCTCGAAAATTTGAGTATGCAGTACTGGTATTATTGATATTATATTGAGCATATTCAACAAATTGATATGTGTCCTTGACAAAGTGTTGATGACGTCATCACAAATTTTATCAGGGAAAAACTCACTTGAAATATACGCATAGCATGCTCCTTTAGCTATATTTAACAGTGCTCACATGTCTTTATTATACCTTGTAGGAGTTATCAAAAACAAAATTAAATACATAGTAAAATTAAATTTATTTAATTTTTCAAAGAATCTGTATTTGTTCGCCTGTATTTCAGAGGTGAGTGAAGTTGTGCCTAAATAACTTTTAACTGGTAAGGGCATAAGTTGGCTGCCCTGTTGTCACTTTTTAATAAATACATAATTTGTGCCAAAAATCAATTTCCTATCGATCCTACTTAGATTTCTTTTCTGAAGTGTATTTATCCTATTTTTAGTTTTCCTGAGTACTATTTTACATATGAATCATTAACGCAATTAAAATTGTTAATTTCTATGTCTAGTTAATATGCACGTACATTAAGCAATAAAAAGTTTAGCATTTTTTTCTTTTAATACTTTGAAATAAATTTAAGCCTTAACCCATGGCCTTAACTCTGATGGGTTCGTATTTTTAATCGGTTTGTAAATAACAACCTAGGTACTACTTAAGATTTGACCATCTCTGCAAAAAAAGTCCAACTTTGATGGTACTAAAAGACTAAAAGTGCTTTTAAAACTTACATTTTATTTAGTGCTAATTTACATAAATAAAAGTTGAAGGAAATTTGTCCTTGACACCGACATTAAAAAAGTCGTTAGTTGATAAACAACATGGAAGCACGTGTACGAGGTGTTCCATCACCACCAATGAGACACGAAATATTTAGACAAAAAATTTACAATACTTTTTCGCGAAAATACCATCAAATAGGTATGTGGTATTTCAAAATTGCTTTTTTTATGTACAGTTGCCAAAAGTGCACGATAATTTTCTCTATTGTAAATGTATCTTCAAATCATGGGCGCTCGAATAACAAAATTTGTCAAATTTGACATTTTGTTTATTCAAAAATGCCACGCCACTGGTAATAGCCAGACTTAGATTAATTTAAAAATTCAAAAAATCCCATGGCAACGAAAAATCGTGCACTTTTGGGAGGCCGCAACTTAATAAGATCTACATACTTATGAGTTATGACAGTATGAATAAATGTGCAGGTTGACTTCATTTAATGTATTACACGATTTGACATTTCAGCTTCTAAGCACTATTAGATTAGAGCTAAGGAACAACGCATTTTCTTGGACTGGAGTTCTATTTTAATAGGCTGATGAAGCGGTGGGGGTGGAATCTCTACTCTGACGTGGGTTGCACTATTTGCATGCTGCTAATTACCAATAAAAAAATTACTTTCAAATATAAATTTCTAACAATTATTTTTTCCAAAAATTTTTTTCCAAATTTGGGTTGATATATTTTGTCTTAGTAAATAATTAAAAACCAGTAAGAACGTACATGTTTTCCCTCTCATAATAATATTAAAATTATTTATATTTTTGATGGGGTAATAAAATGCAGAGTATTAAAAAGCGTTCTTGAATGAGTTACTTTCCAAATATGCTTTTCTTGATACCACTTTTTCATAATCGGTTGATTCTCGCCTTATCATTTCTAATTTTGTTCACTATTTTAAGCTCATCGAGAGGTTTTAATGCAAGTCACACGTAAGCTAAGATAAATAAGTGTTGCTTACTCGCAAGGTATTACTGGCACCTTGAGCAATAGGAAAGTGACGGAAAAGCAGAGAGGTGATAGTGGAGCCCGTTTAGAGGCGGGGCTTGTGTCTTCGGTAGATGGCGCACCGTGTTTCTAAATAGCTCGAATGTGGGTTGTTGCCAAACAAGCCATCATATGGTAGTTATCACTCTTTGTTTATCATGCGCTCGTGAACATGAACAAAGGGTCTTTTAACTGTGCTGTGTTGAATCTACATTGCGACAATCAGCGTACAGTTTTTAGAACGATGTGACAAGTGAGCTAGGATTAGATTTGACATGACTTTCATTTTTTATTGTGCTATTGTTTAATTTAGTAATTTTAAAGAGGTTTTAAAATACTACGGTAGTTTCATTTTAGAGATAATTTATATCTCGTCAGCTATGGATGAACGGAAAGCAGGTGAGCAAATAATAGTTTTTAATACTGAAAGTCTGGCTTTTAACAGTTTCGCAATTTTGTTTGAGTCTGTTTATCTTTTTATTACATAATCGAATATTTTCTATTAGGACTACGAGTCACGGAATTTTTCCTTCAAGATCTTGACTATTAGAAAGTCGGTACTGTTTCTTTTTTCTAGTTTATAGGTACATTTATTTGTTACATGAAGTAAGTAGTTGACACTGTTACCTACGATTGTAAATTCAGAGCATACTTTTAACAATGGATTTAATGATGGTGATAATGTGCCGTACCAATGTATAATTTGAGTTTCCTGTTTAATAACAATTTGAATTGTGCCAATGTTGCTGAAGATGAGCACGCACAATGATGACCAATAAAATACAAGCTCCAGTGCATGTTGTCGCACTCATTTTGTTCATGCATTTGATTGGTTGCAAAGTCTGACGACGGTGGTATTTGTTGGTCAAATAATGCGTTCTGCGTTTTCCGGGTATTTGAAATCAAGGTGCATATTAATTAATAAGCATTATGTACTTTGTTATACGAAACAATGTTTGGAACTGCAATAATGTAATGGAAACCCTTTGTTTGGACTGAATATTAAGCACATTTGTTGTGATTAAACTTGTGAAAAATTATAAAAACGCCACCGCTGCTTATTAAAATACTACCTCGCTTCTTTTTCAGTTTTTGTAAGTATATATTTGTCACTGAAATAATAAAATTTGAATTCAAGGTGTCTGTGGTTTTAATTTATGTACTGTATTAAAAACAACAATAGTTACTAGGTTTGGTAATTTTGTTTTTACATTTTATCTTTATGATGTTCACAAGGTTTGATATTCCTAGGAATTTTTGTTTTCGATTTTAAATGGATATATAGTGTGCTTGACATTTTAATTTAGCCACTGTTGTATTTGCATTACGATTTATGTCTGTAAGTCTCGACTGTAAGTTATATGATGACTTAAACTGTCACATCTGTGCACATGTCATTGCCCACTGCGATTGCTTGACTGTACAATAAAAGTTCGTTTCATACAGAATGTAGGACTTTGTTCTCATATTTGAAAATTGTTTCCCACTTTGTAGAATAGGAAAATGTCCGTCCCCCGTTTGTGTCGATCGGTGTCTGTGTTGCTTATTTTATTAGACAGACCGTATTGGAAATTAAGGCCGATTAAGTGATCACTATGAAATTTTGAGTGTACTTCCCCACCAAAAATTGAATGACGTCATGTCAATTTATTTAATGAAGTATTTAAATGTTTAGATATACATATATCTACTTGTTTCTGTCTGTCTTTCATATGATGGCAATTTTATTAGATAGATGATTTCCGAAACTACTAGCCGGATTATCTATTGAGAAATTATATCCATTAAAATATTTGCTGACGTCATCTCAAAATTTTGACAAATAAATTAAAAAAAATTCAAAATCGTACAATAAAATGTTACCGAACTTAGAAGTTACAAAGTCGTTTCATTTTTTTTTTTTTGCTTTTTGGTCATGGTGAACATGATATTCGTTAATCAGATTTTATCTGTTTAACGAATCTTTGTTTGTCTTTCAAAAATTTGTTAACGTCAAAATTTTGTTATGTAAATCATATTTAACAGTGAAATAAAAATTAATTAACCAAATTCCTGGAAATTGTAAACTTGCTAAATCGCTAATTTGTTCATGATGCCTTGCAAAACTCTGATGACGTCATCTCAAAACTTTTTTAGGTCAATCTTGCATGAAGTTTATGCAGTCCCATGATCTTTCTTTAATTTGTGATTTAATAAAATATATCTACCTATTTTTAATGATCAGTATGAGTTACCAGAAAAAACATGTAAATAAAAACTTTACAGGTTGTCAAAGTTCTTGGAGCTCAGTACTGATGTTTTTATTTTTATTAATACTTAAAGTAACCTCATTTGACATACACCTGTTAAAACTTTTATGACTTAAGCGGCTTAAGCCAAACTACCATTATAAGTCAAACTGGCTATTGTATTACTTAACTCAGTTCACAGCTACATTATGCCAACAGTACCTAATAATCTTGCGGTTCGGGCCCACAAAGCTTACAATAGCCAGTTTGACTTATAAGGGTGCTTTGGCTTAAGTCACTTAAGTCATAAAAGTTTTAACAGGTGTATGTCAAATGAGCTTACAGTACCAATACAGGCGTTGTCATAGAAAAATTGACCTAAACTTCCTCACCCTTTAAATACAATCGAACAAATCAATTTTTTTCGAAAAACTATAAAATTTGATTTTACAATATTTTAATAACTTATGATAGCCCATGTAAGTAAAAAAATATAGATTATACAGGTTACAATGTAAAAAAATCATAGAAACTTATTTCGACAGAACTTCAACAAATCCTGCTTCTTTGAACAACTGTAAAATTTGATTTTGCGATATTTTTTGTGGTAAACTCATCTATAAAGTAAAAAAATGGGAATACATTGATAAGACACAAGTATAGACTCATAATGTTTTGCATATGGATTCATATGTTTTTCCTTAAATTTTCAAAGTTTCAAAAGTAAGTCCCTACATTGGGAAAATTTTTTGAATGCTTATTAAAGAGCTAGATGAACGACTGAATTTCAATTTGGTTTTAGAAATTATTTATCAACTAGGTACACTTGCTGTAAACAGTATCAGTGTTTCAGGCATTTGAAAACAAACAACTTGCACTTGCAGTCTGTTTTGATTTGTCTAAGGCTTTTGATTACTCATTACGGATTTGAGACAAACAGCATTGAATTAGTAAAATATTATCTAACGAATAGACAACAATATGGAAATGTAAATCAAAATACATCGCCTAAACTATCTATATTTTATGGGGTTCCACAAGGCTCCGTATTAGGCCCTCTGCTATTCTTATTGTATATTAATGATTTACAACAAGTTATATCTTCTAAAAAAATAGATTTTTTTGCGGATGATACGACCGTATGCACTGCAAATTCCAGTTTAAATCAATTGAAATTAGATTCCACTGAAATAAAGTATAGTATTATTTATAACTATTTCACTGAAAATAGGCTTGTTGCTAATGAAAATAAAGCCCAAAATATATCACCTTTTCGCTAAGAGAACTAGAAGTAAGAAATGACCGCATCAAGTTGCTTGGAATCTTTCTTGATACAAAATTGACTTGGGAAGCATATGCTAATTACGTAACAAAAAAACTCTCAAAAAACATGTATGTCATAAGACAATTATACTATGAAATTAACATTAAATTCCTCCTGAATGCTTATTTTGCTTTTATTCAAAGCCACATTTCGTATGCCATATTGGTGTGGGGCCATTCTCCTTACCTACAAAAAATCTTTCAACAACAAAGGAAGTGTATACGTGTAGGTGGACTAAAACATTGAGGTGATTGCAAATCAGCTTTCATAAAATTTAAAATTTTAACAGCTCCATGTGCATATATTTTACAATGTTTATTGTACAAATCATCGAACATTCCCACTTCACCAGATATCGTCATTTGGTTAAAACAGAATTTTCATGAATAAATAAAACTAGAAATAGGACTCGCTATTACTGTGTCAAATTTTCCAATTGTCTTTCTATGGAAATAAACATTTTCTTTCCATTTTACATATACGTATACAGGGTGTCCCAGAATTCGCGCCATTCCCGTGAATGACATGTTCCCTGTCCCGAACTCTGCCGTAATTCGCAAAAAGAATTGTCCAGGCTTTAACCGTGTGAGAACGGGAAGGCGCTTAAGTTGACCAATAGAGAGGCTGCTTTTATATCCGAACGTTTCTATGTTCAAAGTTACCTATGCCAAGAACAAAAAATCGGGTAAAACTAAAGTTGAATGAATTTTTTCCGAATCCCCCTCCGTCAACAAAAGGAAACAGAAGTGTGGTTATAAATTTAATCATTTTGACAATTGTTTGTCATAAACTGTCACGAAGTTCATCACTGACCTGAAGAGACACTTCTACGCCAAAGATGACTGATTAATGTACACAGAGACGTCAAGGTTTAGTTTGAGGCAAGTAGCATGGGACAGAAGTTATTTCTGCTGCCATTCTAGTTAAATTGTGTTTAACTGGGCTGTACATGTCATAAGAGAAGCTGTTTCATTTCATCGTAGGCAAATAATACATTTATTACTGTTCTACATAGTGTAGATACCGAAGAGCAGGTATTAGAAGTCATTTTCTTAGAGCCCCGTGAGTAATGTGTTGTTATTTTTAACGAAAATTAGTACATTTTCAGAATTTACTCTGCATCATATCCCTGATATTAAGTTTATCGTTATTTCTAAAAAAGAGTACCACATGTCCATTCAAAGAACGTTATTTAGTGTACTAAAACATAAATATCGCTTTTGATTAATCGGTGCTTATGATTTTCAATAAACAGTATCAATTTTTACTGAACAGCTTTGTTGCTGATACCTAATCTAAGCAACGAAAAAAGAGACGAGACTCCAGTTCTCTGGTGTATTAAGATCATAGGTATCTGCTGTGGTGTCAATCATGTGGGGGAGATACTGAAAACTGAGACTTATTCAAGAATAATATTGATGTTGCACATGATGATTTAAAACAGTTTCTTTAAAGTTGCGAGTACTTTCTAGAGAGTGAAAAGATACGAATAAAAATTATAACAAAAATCGTGTAGTTGCATTTTTTTTTAAGAACAATACAAACTATAAACAAATCAGTACCAATACCACTAAGTCACTGATGTCTTATTCATACTAGTATAAAGAATATTTGGAAATGATGTTAATTTATGGAGAATGTAAACGCTATGCAGCCACTGCTGTGTGCGAATATACAGGTCTTTTCCCCAATCATCGGCTCCTTGACCAGCATGTGAATATTTAATGCGCACAACTGGCACTTCTGGGCAAACGAAAATCCACATTTAGCTAACGTGAGAGCATATCAAGAGCAATACTATTAATCTATGGGCCGGAATCTTTGTACTGTAACGTTATTAAACAATGTGCTCAAAATGATCACCATTAACTTCAATGCCAGTTCTAGCTCGTCGCATTATGTTGTGTTGTATATTATTTAACATAGATAGATAGACTCTTTTCAATGTTCGCCGTGCAAGTATCGAATTATGTGGAGGAGCGCCGTTGTGCTGAAACCACATATTCCGCCGTACATTCAAAGGAACGTCTTCCAACAACGCCGGAAGCTCTAGTCGTAGAAAATTAGCATATGCCTCCCCATTAAGGTGATCAGGTAACACAAACGGCCCCACCTAAAAAACAGGAACGGAGTTTAGTGATTTTATCAGATGCATTAAAATTTTTACCACAGTAGTACCAATGATTCCAGCCCATAGATTAATAGTAAATCGCTCCTGATACGCTCTCACCCTAGTGAGATGTGGATTTTCGTGTGCCCAGAAGTGCCAATTGTGTGCATTAAACATTCCTTCTCGGGAAAATGAACATTCGTCGGTGAAAAGAATGCGCCGTGAAAAATCAGGATTTAGTTCATTTTGTCGCAAAAACCATTGAGCAAAATGTACTCGTCGCGGGTAGTCGGTTGGTCGCAGATGCTGCACTCTCGTGTAATGGTAAGGATGCAGTATTCTCTCTTGAAGGATACGATGAGTGGTCGATCTTGAGCATCCACTCATTTGCGCTACATAGAGGACACTTCTCCTAGGATCCGCTTCCATGTTTTCTAACACTTGCTCTTCAGCACCCACACGTACATTCCGTGGAGCCCCAGCACGGCCTTTCCGACTAGGTTGAAAAGATCCATCTTCACTTGCTCGATGTAACAATCGGTGAAACACTTGTTGGTCTGGGTGCCGACGATTATTCACGGGGCTCTAAGAAAATGACTTCTAATACCTGCTCTTCGGTAGCTACTCTATGTAGAATAGTAATAAATGTATTATTTGCCTACGATGAAATGAAACAGCTTCTCTTATGACATGTACAGCCCAGTTAAACACAATTTAACTAGAATGGCAGCAGAAATAACTTCTGTCCCATGCTACTTGCCTTAAAGTAAACGTCTCTGTCTCTGTGTACCTTAATCAGTCATCTTTGGCGCAGAAGCGTCTCTTCAGGTCAGTGATGAACTTCGTGACAGTTTATGACAAACAATTGTCAAAATGATTAAATTTATAACCACACTTCTGTTTCCTTTCGTTGACGGAGGGGGATTCGGAAAAAAATCATTCAACTTTAGTATTACCCGATTTTTTGTTCTTGGCATAGGTAACTTTGAACATAGAAACGTTCGGATATAAAAGCAGCCTCTCTATTGGTCAACTTAATCGCCTTCCAGTTCTCACACGGTTAAAGCCTGGACAATTCTTTTTGCGAATTACGGCACAGTTCGGGACAGGGAACATGTCATTCACGGGAATGGCGCGAATTCTGGGACACCCTGTATTTTCTTTAAATTAATTGTACTATGATAATTTCATTTTTAGTTATAAGTACTTTATTTAAATTGCATTATCTTTGTCCTTCTTTACGAATATATTCATTTGATATTGAGTTAGAAAATTTGTACAGATTTTAACATTAATGAAATCATTATTATTACTATTATTATTATCATAAACCCCAAGTGTAAGTTATGGGTGTAATGGGAGATTAGTTTTTAGTATTTTAAAGGTCATGAAAACAAGAAGGTGGTCGTTTGTTGACTACAGGACCCTGTTAAAATCTTTCCTTAGCCTACGCTCGGGAAGTAAAAAAAAATTCAATACGGATGGGATTCGAACCCACACGGGCAAACACAAGTCCGACAATTTGCCACTTAATTAACTAGGTCACGAGGTATTTGGTGTATGAGCAAGACATCGGCTGCATGAATTACCTGAAAATATTACTCAAGGAAATGTTTGTAAAGTATTTGTGAAAAAAATCAAAGCGAATTCATACAACTTGGGTACAGGAGTATATTATTTGATAAAATTTAGATAACCTTTACTACAAAATGATCAAGGGATGTCATCAAATTGTTGGTGCGGATGAGAATTTTAACTTCTACCCGATATTCTTTAAACGTATGCAAAATTTGACAACAATCGGTCCAGTAGTTTCGGGTTTATATGTCTAATAAAAACGACATACACAGAGGCGGACAGACAGACGACAGACAAGGCACAAACGGGGGACCTATTTATTCGAATTCTAGAGGTCATGAACGTCGAGAAAACCTGAAAGTAGACATGTGTTGGATGGTTCCTGTTTTTTTTTTTTTTTTTTTTTTTTTTTAATAATAATAATATTTATTCCTACAGGTAACACCCAATTACAGGAATAATATCAAACTAACTAAACTAATTCATGACAGTAACTAAAAAGGTATAAATATTGAAAAAACAAAAGTATCTACAGCTAATTAAACATTAACCCAAATTAACGATGCAATTACAAATACTAACACTAGAATCAAAATTAATATCACATAAATGTGCAATTTTGTTGAATAAATTACACATAACCGACACTGGAGAGCGAACTGAGACGTTTGTACGGCTAGAATCAATATAAAACAGAACTTGTTGACGAGAATTAAGTCTAGGTACAAGTATATTAAATCCATTTAGAATATCAATGCAGTCTACTTTATTGTGAAATAAATTATATAAAAATCTGACCGCTATTACTTTTCGTCGTACAGCCAAAGACAAACAATTAAAACGAGAAAGTAACAGGGAGTGTTCATAACCTTGAGGGGGATAAACACCATCCTCCAAATATACTAAAAATTTGAGGAATCGTCTTTGAACAGCTTCTAAATGACGGCAATGTATTTCATAAATCGGATACCAAATTAAAGTACCATACTCCAACTTCGACCTAATCAAGGAACAAAACAATATTTTAAGTGTTCTAATATTACAAAAATTGCTGCAGTTCCTATATATAAAGCCATAGGTTCTAAGTGCAGCAGCAATAGACGCATGAATGTGTTGCACGAAGGTGAGTTTACTATCAAATATTATACCTAAATCTTTGACTGTATGACATCTCTCAATAGTGGAACCATTAATGTTATACTCGTAAATAATATTGTAATATAATAATTATAATACTGTTTTAGTTTAATCTGGGGAAATAAACAAAAAAAAAAAACATACACAATAGTATTTAAACTAGACTATGCTCATTCTGGTAACTGTTACCGACCGGAACAGTAAAATATGAAAAGTCGTACTTTATAATTATAAAGCAGTAGTTCTGGCCTTTGAGAAGATGAACTTACACGTTACTCCTTATTCAGTACCAGACTTCATCCACTGATTTTCATGACTACTGACATGAAGAAAAGCAAATTCGTCGCCGTTGTTAGTATATTAGATTAGAAGTTTTAACCTTACGTGTGGGTTATCTTGAAAAAGATAAAAATTTTAAAGTGAGATTTATACATATACCTAACGATTTTTTTTTTGATCTTAGTATGATAACTTATAGTTGATTACAGAACGTCAACTAAATTTTATCTCGTTGTGGTCTTAAGAAATATGATAATGTCATCGCAGAAAATTATTAATTATAAAATTATTATGAAACAAATATTGCCTGTAATCCAGCATTTTTTGTTTTGTGGTATATTTCTCTGGAATTACTTTCATAGCATGCCTACAAAATTTTACGAACAAAGCTGTTTCTTTATTGCTTGAGTGAAAAACAGGGTACCTAATTTTTGTAGGACCACAGTATTTTTGGTATTTTCGTTATATCGTACGCATACGTGGGGTATTCTAAAAGAATAAAGTTATTGGAACTAAAATTTACGATTGATCTAAAAAACCACATAATGACCTTTTTAAAATTTCAACAAAACGTGAACAAACCTTGATTTAGTGGTTACAAAATAGTTACTAACTGTTAGCAACGGGACCTCGCTGGTGCTCCGATATGATGTCGCGCCAGCCGAAATTCCAGCCGTCTGAGGGTTGATTATCGTCGGTTAATATAAACATTCGATAAGATGCAAGGGAAGTAGTGAAGGGGGCAGTCTGTTCTTTCTTCTTGAGGAATAAAGACGTATTTTGATTTTGCTCTCGCGTTTCCTTTTCCCTGTGTAATTTTGGCGATTTGATATCATTTGATATTACTAACAAAATTTTATTTATTCGTCCCTTCCGAAAAACTGACGTCATACTCCTTATATAATGTAATTTTCATTTTAACTGTATGCACATGGGTTATTTTAAAACGGAAAAAAGTACAATAACACTTAAGTGGTCTTAGAAAGTGCGTAGCGAGCTCCTTTGAAACCTTGGTAACTCACTGTGTCGTAAGAACAACCTTTGGTAGATGCTTTTATTTACTTTAACTGCGAAAAGTGGTAATGTCGGTAGCAGGAAAGTTGAATCCACCATGTTGAATGCGTGGTAAAATCGCAAGGTAACACATATCGTAAAAAAATACATAAATACCACTGTTTATCGGTATCATGAGGCTATAGGCAGCAGTTTTAATGTAACGAGCAAAATACACACAAACAGTTTTATCACCTAATTAAAAAAAAGGCATTTGAGAAGTGTAACGTTTTAGTGATTTCTTTATTCTAACTTTTTCCTTATAATCCATTATAATAATTTAAAATGTATTGATAAATACAAAAAACTGGCAAATACAGTAATTGCACTATAATTTTATATTTAATTAAGCAAGTTCAAGTATGATCTTATTATATCCAGTCGGTGAATAATTTCCTGTTTACTGGCCAAGTTTTATCAACCAGTTGATACATGTGTCCTATGTAATCTTTTTTATGCATTTTAAAATAAATAAAGTACCAAAATGTTTTTGACAATAGAAATTGCTCGCTACTTATATTAGACACATTAAAAACCACCGTCCGTGTTGAACTATGAACCTACTTATCAATTTCGTTACAGATGAATCATCTTGGTTTGGCCGAACCGCTAAATTAATTCAAGAGAGATTTAAATCCCACAACAAGAACTTCGAGAGTGATCTGGAAACGGAACAACAGTACAAAGAACGATGGCGATCGATTTACATTATTTACTTTACAATGTTTTTAATTTCTTTGGGGTTCAGTATTATAGTTACCGGAGTATGGCCCTACTTGGACAAAGTAAGTTTTTACTTAAAATTGTTAAATTAACTAACAAATTTTGAATACAGCTTGACCCAACTGCTGGTAAAGAATTCATGGGTTATATCGTGGCGGCCAACCCCTTTGGTCAAATGTTATTTTCACCGTTGGTGGGTTGGTGGAGTAACAGATTGGGTTCAATTCGAATACCTCTTTTAGCCTCATTGGCGCTTTTTACAACAACTAGCATTATTTACTCGTCTTTGGAGTTGTTCGACGAACACAGGAAACACTGGATGTTATGGACAAGATTCCTGGTGGGGGTTAGTTCAGGTACAAAGTAATCATTGTGTAAATAAATCGATGTATTGATTTTTTGTTTTCAGCTAACATTGCTGCTTGTCGGTCATATCTATCGGCAGCGACACGGGTCTCTGAACGCACGAAAGCTGTTTCGATGATATCGTTAGCCCAAGTGTTGGGTTTTATTGTAGGCCCTGCCATTCAAGCCGCGGTTGTTCCCTTAGGCGATGAAGGATTTTGGTTGATTCCCCATAAATTGAAACTCAACATGTACACAGCTTCGGGATGGATTAACGTAATTTTCTCGCTCTTCAATATGTACCTGTTTTTGCCACACGTGTTCAAAGAACATAAAATTGCCGGTAGAGAAGCTATGTTGAAGCAAGGAAAGAATAACGAAAAAGATACGTGGAAACAACACAGACCTAACTATTTCGCTACTTGGACTTTAATAGTAGCATTCTTTGTGATAGTTTTTAACTTTATGTTATTGGAAACATTGGGAACTCCACTTACTATGGACCAGTTTGCTTGGTCGAAAGCTGATTCGCTTAAATACATGGGTATTTTAATGTCTGTGGGGGCAGTTCTAGCAATCATTACTTTCGCCTCAATTTCACCTCTTTGTAAGAAATTTTCCGAAGTGAAGGTGATGATATGGGGAGGATTTCTTTTCATGGTTTTGGGTCGTGCAATTTATATACCGTTTAATAATGATCCACCAGTCATGTACGACTCGGAATTGAAATTGAATATGACCTTAATTTGTGATAAGGTTTTATACAATCGACCAAACAATGAATATGACTTTAATCTAAACGAAACTATCTGGAATTTAAATAAAAATTCCTTGGATGAAGTGGCAGTCAAAAATTTAACTTTTAATTGTGGTGAGGATCTCCTGGGTTGTCCATCAAGCCAAGAATGGTGTTCTTTCACTCCCGCGATAACTCTCACACAGTTCATCATTGGTTACTTTTTGACGGCATTTGGATATCCAATTGGAGTGACTTTAATCCAGACGATATTTTCGAAATTGCTGGGTCCTAGACCACAGGTAAGGTTTAACAGTTTTTTAATAAATAAATACATAAATATTTTTAGGGAGTTTGGATGGGTTTAATGACGGGCTCTGGTTGTTTATCAAGAGTTATGGGTCCAGTGTTCGTAACCCATATATACGAAGAATTTGGCACTGTCTGGACATTTGGGTTAACGGCTGTGATGATGGTTCTTTGTCTTTTATGGCTGTTGTATTTTAACAAAACATTAATTCCAGTTGAAATAATACTTGAGCCGGAAGGACAAGAACTTAAAGAGATTCATTTGGTTAGAGTTCCACTCAGTGAAAAAGTGGAAGATGATTGAAGCGTCAGAGAATAATTTTAAACTCGTACTTACATTCGTGGTTGTAATTTAGTTGAGTTTGAATGAGTTTAGACTAGTTACGAGAATTTGGTCAGGGACATGCTGTCAACGTACTTGCCAACAGTTTTTGTTGTTCTAGAGAAATAACGCCAAAAATACTTTTTCATGGATCTCAAGACTGAAACGCAATCGTTAATATAAAATAAGAAAAGCGATGGATAAGTGATATTTTTAGTAGTAATTGTACTTAGATTTTTATAATACTGTTATCTACGTCTTATACATATTTTTACAAAATGATTTTTTGCGAGCAATAAATAAAGTGCCGTGTATTACATAACTGAATAAATATCGTTCTAAACTTTGGTTACTTTGGTGATTGCAAAACTTTGTTACACAGTAGATCACAGACTTGTTATTTAGAATTATCTGTCTTCTTTTTTCCAATGTTAACTGCCTCGTCGATTGTGTCTGGTAACTTTATATTCAAAGTTTCTGGGAAGAGAAGGGTCAAAAGCCCAGCGATGGTAGCCATTCCGGTGAACAGCAAAATGGGTAAGGGATCCCAAATTTGCGCCTAAAAATGTAGTAAAAGTAATTTTTACTTATAGGGTTGGGTATATTCGTACCAGAAGTGGAGTCTGAGGCGCCACCATGGATCCTACTCTTCCAAAAGTGGAACAAGAACCCATCATGGAATGACGCAAGGGCGTTGGAAATAGTTCGCTGGTTATAATATAGACCACTGTAAAAGACACAGTGGACCCAAATTTTCCCAGCATCCACATTGCCAAACTCATATTATCATAGCCTGCAATCGCAATCACTCGATTCTATTCCCTAAAGCAGTGTTTCTTACCTTTCGGAATGCACATAAATACAATACAGGAAATACCTGTGATGAAAAATGAGCCACTCAGGGACCATTTTCTTCCAATTCTGTCAACAACATGAATACAGGCGAAGTACGCCGGAATTTCTACCAGAGATGTTAGTATAAATTGTAAATAGCCGTTTCCAGCTAAAGCTACAGAGTTTAACGTTAAACCGTAAAAAAGGAACGCACAAGTAATCCAACAAAAAATGCAGTTGATTAGTCTCATTACTAAAATTCTTGATTTGAACACTTCAGTGATTGAATCCTTGCATTCGCTTTGGTTTACAACTACAAGCTTATCCAACATGTTTTCGGTTATCGTTTTACCGTTTACCTGAGCCATGCGTCTCAACACTTGTTTGGCTTCTTCAAATCTACCTTTGCTCAAGTACCATCTGACAGATTCTGGTACCACCCAGAAGTAGAAAAACAGAAGCATGGGAGGACCATATAGGATATAAATGACCGGCCTATGGACAGCAGCATGAAATAAATTTTTAAATCCGATGAAACTTACCTCCACGCTTTGAAAACCCAAGCAGAGCCGGCAGCAAAAATTTCGCCTAAAGCGTGGCACGAGCTTATGAGGGTACCTAGCAAAACTCTTTTCTTAGGTCCAACGAGTTCAACTCCTGTCATAACAATCGATTATTTTTTATCGGGAGTAAAACTACCATATACCCATGATAAATCCACAAACATAGCTACCCGCACCGAAAGCAGCGTCCAGAAATTCAAGAATTAAAAACCAGAGATAAGTAGGAGCAAAAGTTCTTAGTAATCCGCAAATGCCACAGAAAATCAGGCCAAGGATGAACACGGCTTTCCGTCCATACCTTTAAATTAAAATTTCAAAAACACAGTACTCGAGCGTTTCCGTGTCGTACTTGTCAGATATGATTCCTGATATAAATAAACCAACGAACTGACCTACATTATTAATTGTACCTACTAGAGTTAGTTTCCATAAGTTGTCGTCACATTGGAGGTCATACTGGAAATTTTAACAAGGGGGTGAAAAACTTTTATCAAGTGTGTGTGTCTTACCTCTTGTAGAATGCTCTTTTCTTGTGTTTTATACACAAAAGAGTGACACCTTTGGGTCTGTGTTGTGAAGTCTGATGCTTTATTACAGTTTTCGAAGTTTTCAGTCGCATTATTTATCACAAATTTCATGCACTTGGATGGTGCGTCGTTGGCAAAGGGAACAGCGTTGGGTAGCCACGGAGGATCGTAGTGAGTATTGTTTGTAGCGTCGCATTCTGGTATCGCACATCTGCAACAATATACGCTTATATACTTATCTGATACAATTTCGATTTCGACACAACTAGCACTAGTTCTTACATGTTTCCAGTTTCCTTGTTTAAAGATCACAAAACAGATGATATTTAAGAAATAAATAATGAATCTTGTAATGTAATATTTACTCGATAGTGTTTAAACTTGTCACTAATGAAGTAGAGTGATTGTTTAACACTGTAGTGTGTGATATACTGAGGTTTTGATTTGGGGTTTCAGATCTTTTAAAAAATACGTGAAGGCCCCACAGTTTCAATTTTCAATTGATCAGTTGTGGGTATACTACTTCTTGGTTTTGTAATTTTGTAATTGCTTCTGTTAGATTATTGTAATACTTACAAGTATCTGGTGTATTTTTTGTGAGATTTTTGTACATTATTACTTTCTACACCAGATATGCGATTCACTTAAAATGTCTGTATAGGTACTATATAGTTATTTGGTCAAGTGTACGTCTATTATATTCATTGTTATATTCCTACTAGTTAACCATCTTTGTAATAGAATAAAATCAACACAAGATAAAATTTAAATTACAGGATATGACAGTGCATGAAAGCAGAAAATGTTACGTTGTAGGTCAGATTAGAATAATACTGTTTCCAAACTCTGCTAGATGTATGTATATATATATATGTAAAGTATTATCGACAGTAAAATACAAATTAATGATTTATTAATTGATTTCATCACATATGAATCTATACCACTTTTATAAATGTGGTCTACATGTTATATACAACGTGTAACTGTACAGTCTTTAGATCCTTACAACTTAATTTTTAAACATTGTTAATATGTGAAAAAATGTTGGATAAAATTATTCATTTTTCCACTCACTTCTAATTTTAGAAAATTCATTGTTCCTTTTTTGGCTTATAGGGTCAGTATCAGAATTGGGTGATAGTGCAACTACTTAATAATACGGTTATTTACTTTAACTATTTTGAAATACTAGTACTTGTATTATTTTTATTGTCAACTGCTTAGTAATTTTCAAAACCAAGCAAATGTAGCTATTCACTAATGGGAAAATAATCACTCGCTTCTGCAGTAGTTGATTAATGTTTCAGTAACCCACTATTTATAAACATAACGACCACATATTGAATCGATTATCATAAAGTTCATAAGTGAGCACTTGGATAATAATTTTCGACGTGGTGTCTAATCATCACAAATATCACATTGCTGATGTCTTAAAGTGACAAAATTTTCGAAAATGTATTTCAAACAACTTTTAACACAACACTTGTCCACTAGCTTAAGACTTTCCTAAACTTACCACGACGTTTCTTCTTAGTTGCTGGCTTTTTGTTGTGCCTCAACAGACAAAAAAATTCCAAAAATTTTTCTTAATGAGAATCTACGTTTTATTATTTAGTCTCAAAGCATAAAATTTTTTATTCCAGTTTCTTTAGTCATGATTTACAATCAAATCTACTTTGCAATTACATAATATTGCTATGGGCTCACACATTACATATTGGGAAAAATTTTGCATAAAAAATATTGTGGTGAAATATGTATCAGTGTTTATTGCTCTTTATTCTTTGTTCCGGTCAACTCTTAACTAGTATTAGAGCATAAAAAATAGGTCTTCCGTTTCCGTCCGTCTGTCTGTCCATCCGTCTGTCTGTATGTCTGTTTGTCTGTCTGCCATCTGTGTCGATTTTTACTAAGTAGATAAATGATAATCTTCGGCACTGCCAATTCTTGTCAAATTTTATATTAACTGTGTTATTTAACTGTTTGGAATATTATATTCTGATCACCGGACCAGAACATAATGTTCCAATTTATCAGTCAATTTCAATCGCTTTATCAATTGGCTACCAACCCAGGTTGGACTTATCTGATTAAAGGGGTTCGAAAAAATAAATAATTATCCACGAGACTGTAGGTAAAATATCGAATTATTATTAATGTTTGAGTTTTTTGTCAGATTGGTGACATATTTAAAATTTTATGGTGGGTTACCTGACTGCCATTTGAAATTTATGGCACCAAGTCAGTCATCTTCTCATCACGTTTATTATCTGGCGCCCTCTTGTGAAAGCTGATACTGACTGTGAACTGACCTACTGTCATTGTTGCCAATAGTTCAGTATTGCCAACACAAAAATTTGATTCATTCATTAAAGTCTTTTGGTGGATTAAGTTTATCTGCAAAATTAATGATTTATCTATTAATGATTTGTTTTGATGATGTTTTCCAATTTTATTATTGTATTTTACCCTATTGTTCACTAGTCATGTGTAACTGAATGAACATTTAAACATTATTATTAGTGTTATTTAGATTTCATGTTATCAGTAGTTTCAAATAGAAATATTATTTATGAAGTAGCTTGTCAGTCTAATAATATTATATGGATCAGTTTTGTTATATCTACCACATAATGTTTAGTTTTTATTTTTTAAAACAGTTTAATTTATAATAAGACAACAATAACGGTGACAAATTTTATCTTCATGTATATCAAAAATTATTATTAATATTAATTTATTACATCACACGTGTGAAAAGATCTTTATCTTAAAAAAAAAGTAAAATATTTCATTTAATATTATAAGTATAGTCAAAATTCGGAATTATAACAAAAATAAGTATTTTATTTTTATGAAACATTTTTTGTATTCTATGGAAAATACAACAAATAACAAAATATAAAAAACATAATATAGCATGTAGATGTCAAAATCGTTGCGGATAATAATAATAAGAGGCCTGCTAATAACGATAAAAAGACAGTTTTCAGAATTAGTAAATAAAATAAAACAATTTGTGAAAAATAAAGTGTTAGTAAAATACATCGGTAACAAATTTTGCTACAGATGAAAAAATACTTTATTTCTATTTAAAGTACATAGTAAATAAAGAGATTATCGATTTCAATATTGTCTTTGTATGCCCAACACCTTCAAGGCGTTCTGTAAAACACAGTCAAAGAACTTTCGTTCTTGTTTTTATTTTTCTAATGAAAACCAGAGACGTTTTTTTGAGAAATAAGTTAGTATTTGGGATATTATTATTACGTTGTACAATAGTTGCGTAATGTTGAATATAAAAATGATATCCCTTAATACCGATAACGTAAGAAAAAAATTGTGAAATCAGTATAACACGGACATAGTCGTTAAAATTATTTATTAATTATTTTTTATAATAAAACTTCGAAATGGAAATATACAGTCTTGTTTATCACTTAACCTTGTAAGTTTAAATAATTTATTGTATGTTACATGTGCTTTAAATATTTTTACTTTTTGCATTTTAAACGTTAATTTACAGTCCAAGGTGGAAAAAATTATCAATCCTTACAGAAATTTTAATAACAGAACAATATTATTGTAAATGTGTGTATAGTGCATGCTATTTATTTCAAACAATATCGGTTTCTGTTTGTAAGATAAATACCAACCGTTAATTTGGCTATGTACTTCACAGATTTATCAGTGCAGTGCTATCAATAATTACATTTAATTTTTTCGTAGTTGTAGTGATTTTTTCCATATTTTCACATGCATAATAATCTATACATTCCTGCTTTTGAATATGTAATAATTTATAGGGCAAACAATATAAAAATTTAATTTTGTTACTTCAAGAGTAAAGTAAAAAAATATTCAAAATAGTACATGCGTTCATTAAAGTTGATTAAACTGTATATATCACTTTAAAGGAATGCAAGTTATTGTTACAAGATAGCAAAAATTCTAAGATAAAATTTGTTATTAACTTCAAGGCAGGAAAATATTGTTATAATTATTACCTAATAATCCTAATAATTTGCGAGAACATACCTGTATTCCAAATCCATTGCGGTGAAAACAAAAGCTACATGCACCCCAGAATGTAATATTACTCCGATACAAACTAATCCGAACATTAAAGACTGATATTTTCCAAAATCTCCAAGTTGGATCAAAAGATTGTCCAGAGAATTATCGACTGATGTCATTGTTGAAGCTTTTCAACGAAATATTACTTTTGATTAAAAAAAATATTATCACAGGTACTGTAACAGTGTGGCGACACTTCTAATATAATGTTGCAATTGTGCAAAGTTTAAAATGCTTTCTGCTCGCGAGTGTTACACCACATGTACTGAGGTGCTCCACATGCGACCTCTATTTATTCTTTGTAGATTTAACTAACAACTTTACATTGCCGAGTTTTATTAGAAAAGGGTTTTTACCTGCACGTAATGGAGTCCAGTAAACAGATTTGAAGTTGACACTAAAGAATATGTATATGTTGGAATTTTTATTAAAGGTTTGATCGATGAAATATTTTTTGTATCGAATTATTACTACACTACCAAGTAAAAGTAGAAATAATGTCAGACGTATGTGGTTAAATAGTTAAATATTTTATTTACTAAATATCGTATGCCGCTTTTACATACCTATTGTTTATGATTTCAAAGTACACTCATTAGCGCATCACAGTTTCTACAGCGTTAATCTACTGTAAAAGGAAAAAAGTATTATAAATGGAAAATGCAGAAAAAAAAGTATGAAAATAGGTATTTTATAAAATTTGCAATCTTTTCAAAATTTTACAATATTTCAATTTATTTTTCTGATTTGGATGCATTTAATTTTGTTCTATGACTAGTAAATTAATGTATTAGTTATTACCTTATTAAAAACATACACGTACAACTTTAGCCCTTGATTTTTTTCTAATTCTAATAATAATCAATGAGATTTCGAGGAGCACGCGCTTAATGACTCACCCTGTATAGTCGATGTGTTATTATTTATTTTCTACTACACCTTTTTGTACAACGCAGTTGTAAGCCTTTGAAAATAAATAAAACACTGTGGGAAAAAAATTATCTAGTTTTTTTAATGTTTTGTTCAAGGATATCTATTGATAAGGAAATACAACACATTGCAAAATAGTTGTAAGGACATAAAAATAAATAAATATACAAATAAATTTTTTACCAAATAATCCACACGAAAATAAAAGTACTCGATACGAAGTAAAAATTGCTTAATATTAAGAAAAAAATTCTTTTTAATATAACAAATGCGAGTCAAGGATAAAATAAGGTAGTCCCAGTAGATATACCTGGTATGCCATAAAATCTATCAAATTTCAGTACGACGATTTTTGTGACCTGTGAATGAAATAAAAAATCCATTGATTATAATAAAGTACACAAATGCAGATTCTTCGAAAAATCATAAAATTTAATTTTGCGAATTTTATTTTTTTAATGAAAATCCCTATAAGTTAAAAAAAGATAGATGTCGTCTGTTAAAGTACAGTTAAATGACCATGCTATGTGTATATTTTAAGTGAGTTTTTTCATAACAGAATTTTGGGATGACGTCATCAACATTTTAGCAAGGACATGTAAGTATATCAATTTGAATAGGTGCAGTGTAATACTAACAGTCTTGTATACTCAGATTTTCAGGAAAATTAATTCATTATTTTTTTTGCAGAAGCAATTATAAAAAGTATTAATGCATTGATAAATCACAAATGCAGATTATATTTTGCAAAATTTAGATCGGATTTAATCGGTAAAATTTTGAGATGACCAACTTTTTGTAATTTTGATTAACGATTTAACATGCTTATGATAATTTTAAAATGTTTACAAGATTTCAGAGCAATCGGTTTTGCAGATAATTGTAAATTGCAAAATGTTATATTTTTTTTTTTTATTTTCTGTGCCTAGGATAAAAACTCATCACGGATTCGTAAGTTACAACTGTAGGAGTATGTTATTTTATAAAATTTAAATACGATTTACTGTTGCAAATTTTGGAGATGACGTCATCCCATTGGTGGTGGGGATGATTAGACAAATTTTGGTCATGACCCGATTGATTAATTACAGTACAATTGCAATAGCTTCAAAACAAATATTTATTCTACTTTTCATTTTTTAATCCCATAGAGTCTGTAATCAAAACAGTTTAATTTTTTTAATCGCGATCAGACAGATCAAACAAAATCCATCACTCAGATTATCCACAATATTTTCTTATAAATAATAAAGGCGCACCAAAACAACCGTATCATCAATGTAAATGATAATTTATCAGCTACGTAAAATATATGTCACTTATATCGGTTTTTATCAAATTTAATTGATGTAGAATTGTTTCAATCTTTAGTGTTTTCATTTAAAATACAATTCTGAGTAGATAATAACCGAATTACGCAAAAATGATGACAGCCAAAAGGTTTTATAAAAAACTTCAGATATTGTTTTCCTACGACAAGATGTTCGTTTTGTCACAAAATTAACATAAAATTTCTGTTTTTCACATAAATATTGTTTAAAGAAAATTAACTGCAGTCTGTACGTGCCAGACATAATTTATTAAATATTTGTATGTTTACTGACAACACGTGTTATTATAGTAAAAACAGTCGAATATTTTTCCATTTTTTACAGTTGACATAATACCTTATCGCATTTTTATGTGTCGGCGTTTAATACAGTGTATTTGTTATATGCGTTCATGTCTATGTTTATTAATATCCATGATGTTGGCGTAAAAATTATTTGTTGTTTGTATGAAAGTGTACAAATTAAAAAACCTACTGACGCCTGTACCATTTGTACCGGCCATTGTTTTCTCGTTTTCAAAACCTTTATGGTTAAAACATTTTTTAATGGTTTATATTTTTTATATCTGTTTTAGAAATGCATCAGGCTATGTTCGTCATCTCTCTTCAACAACAATTACGATTATAATTCAAAGTGAGTGACTGTGTAAATACATTAAATTTTGAGATAAAAAATTCCGTCCTGTAAGTTGTCGCTTATCATAAGTGGCAAATTTGATTATCTTTTAATTTAATGTTTAGTTACTATCTGTTCAAGAGTTCACGGAACTGGAAAATTTTCATTTTTACGTGGATTATTTTAAAGAAATTATTCTAATAAAAAAAAATAATAGAATTGTTATTCCAATCGTAGAAGAGTTTAAAAAATCGTGTGCTCTTCCGGATATAGCTGAGGTCAAAGACTTATGATATTAATACTGTATCACTAAGCAATAAAATATCTTTATCTTTCAAAAACTGATTGTTTGCTTATGACGTACTTATTATCTAACGGTTTGTTATAAGTTAATTTATATAAGACTAAGAAACGTCTAAGGCCTTAGTACACTAAACTATAAATAAAAATGACTGTTGTATTATATCTATGTATAATACTACTAGAAAGTGATAAGAAAATTGGACCGGAAAAATATAATCTTGACCATTAATGAAATTAAAGTGTCTAGTAAGAAATTCAATGCCATCCTATAGTCCTTCATACACGTGTTAACAATTGTGGCAGGCAATCCCACACAATGAAAAACTGATTCTTATAGGCACTTAAACTCAATAACTTACAAACAGAAGTGGGAATTTTCCTCAGAAAAATATAGAAAAACGGTGCATCTAACAAACTTTATATATTTAATCTCTTGATAGCTGTTCAAGCAAATCGAGACAAGATGAGTATTTACCTTAGCCTTGTTCTAGTAATTACAGATGACATTGCAATTAGTCTGAAAAATGTGAATTAGAAAAAATCAAAACTGTAATTATTTTGTGTTCAGACATAGGAAATTCTATGGAACGGCAATACGACTACATAAATTAATAACAAAATTATAGTTTTTGTAGCAGTCATTATTTTGTTTTTTCCAAACCGAAGCGATCGTATTAATTAGGTCAGGAAATCCAAACTTCTGACTCATCTTTAGGGTGAAAAAGCAATCTCATGTTTAGAATTATTTGTTAATTTTATTGTTGCAAGATAAATATTAGTACTTGCAGTATAAAGCTACATACAATTAAACGTGTTACTTTCGGAGCTATTATTATATTTTCAGAATAAGTTAGCAAGTGATATTCGAAATACCGCAGTCAAGTGCCAAATTTGTGTCCTTTTCTTCGCTCCGGGTATTGAACGATTGACTAACACGTGCAAATTAACCACATTTAATTACTTCATTGTAAAACACGACCGTATAAAAAAATGAGGAGTTATGTATTCTGCTGGATTCTCATAGATTTATTGATGACCGTCATATCTTCCTTAAATGTCTGTCCTACGTAGGCAATGTCAGTCAGCGGAGTATGTCGTTTCGCATATTAAACAATAAACTGGAAGGTTGCATTTTCGTTACATTTGTTTCAACCTTGTTGGTACTTTTGGCAAATTGTATCCATATTTAGGTGATTATAGTGAATTAGGCTAGGAAAGAAGAGAATTGCACTGAAGTGGAGTTTAGATGTGGGAAATTTCCAAAGAGAAATTTGAGAGTGCTGTCAAAAACACATAGGTAATTGACCGTTCAGATAGTTAAGATTCTGTCTCTAAATATACTAAAAATAAAAATATATGTATGTGGTAACCTGTTCGTACTGGTTTATGCAGTGCTAATTTCCATAAAAACGTTATAGTTGCTAATGATTAGAAATACCGTTTATTTAAAAATACTGTCTGTTAATAATAATTGTTACATATGTATGACCCACGAGAATGTGTCATTTTAATCAAAGGAACAAATTCTTACATAACTATAAGGATGTCAAAAATTTTGAGCAAATAAATTGCAGCAAATTATATAAATTTACAAACGCTTGAAGTGTTTACATACAAAAATGCGTAAATCTTTCGCATAGTGGAAAAATTATCAAACTTTAATGCAACCTTTCCACATTTTGTTTAAATATTTTGATAATCTATTTAATAATAAGTAATGTTGTTTTTGCGTTGTTGCAACCTGCCATCCTGGCACTTCACTTATATTTGGCTTTTTAAACGTTTTAAATGTACCCCTGGAAGGTGATTCACCTCTAAGTTCTTCCCCATAAAATAGGTTACGCGCTAGTTTATTTTCATCACCGGTATTGAATCACAAAAGATCTAAATTACCAATTATCATAAATCTTAAATGTCCAGTTCTATTAGGTAGCCGTCATTGTGAATTTTATAATCTTATGTCCATTGTGTGATGACTGATAAACAAATGTGTTTGTTGATAAAATACGGTTTCCTTTTTATTTATTTTTCTTACCTTTTTTAAGTTGATGAAGTTGGAGGCGCGTATGATTCACTTTGTCTAAAATAGAAGTT